ATTAAGGAATAAATTTAGGCTAATTTTTTCTTTTAAAGTAAAAAAAAAATTATGTACACTCATAATTTAATTTTATGAACATTTTAACCTAAAAATATTTAAATTCCGATAAATATTGAAAAATCACTAAATTTTGATGAATTTTGAGTTAAATAAAATTTTTTAATTATTTTAGCCGTTGGATTTAAATTTGGGTCGTTAGATCTTTTTTTTACCGTTAGATTTGATTATATTCGACTCAGCCGTTGGATTCAATAAATCCAGGGACACAGGCCAATGTGGGTGGGGTCTCGTTGGTGGTGCTCACACCATTTTTTGGGCTAAGCCCTGGTTTGATACTGAGGTGATTCTGAAAAAAAAGCTGGGGTAAACATTCAGCTTCAGCTTTTTTTTCATAGTTTTGGGTGAAAAAAGCCAAAAACAAGAAGCTGCAAAACCCAGCTTTGAAAAACCGGTTTTTTTTCACATCTGTTTTACATAAAAGTTTACCAAACACTCTGCTGCTTTATTTCACAGCTGCTTACTCTCACAGCACAGCAGAAGCAGCTTTTTTTCAAAGCACAGCAATACCAAACCAGCCCTGGGGGAAATTTGGCTTTTGTTTGGCTTTTAGCTCTTAGCTCACACATTTAGCATGGGTTGGGTTTGGGGGAGGAATAAAACCTAAAAAATAGCATTTAGCTCATAATTGGGTTTAGTCTTAGCCTAGTGGTGAGGGTAAATAGAGCAATCGGTGATGCATAGAAAGCTAGGTTTAAGGCCATCTCCAACCGAAGGGTCCAGAGGGCCAGAGGGCCGAAAATAGCCCTAAAACCGTCTCCAACCGAGGGCTAGGCCAGAGGGCTCGGGAATCTGGGAGGGCCCCACGGGATCGGAGAGGGCTGGAGGGCTGGAGGGCTGGCTGCTTTCGGCCAGCCAGCCAGCCCCGGGCTGGCTATTTTTTTTTAATGTTTCTTATTTCTGTCGGTTATAACCGACAGAAATAATATAATATATATTATTTCTGTCGGTTACAACCGACAGAAATAACATTTTGAATTCAAACTTCCAACGGCTAGCGCCACTAGCCGTTGTAAATCCTTTTTTTTTTTTTATGAATTTAAACCTTTTTTTTTTTATGAATTTAAACCTTTTTTTTTCTTTTTTTTTCTATAACTTCCTATAACTTCTATTTTACAAAATTTGTTTCAATTTTTTTTTAATTCTATTTTTTTCCTATAACTTATATTTTACAAAATTTGGTTCATATTTTTTTCATATAACTTCTATTTTACAAAATTTGTTTCATATTTTTTTTTTAAATTCCATTTTTTTCCTATAACTTCTATTTCACAAAATTTGTTTCATATTTTTTTTAAATTATAATTTTTTCCTATAACTTCCTAAGCCATTATACAACATTAAATTAAATTAAGTAACATGAAACAACATTAAATAACATTAACCGACATAAAAATTATACAACACTAACCAACATGATTTTTAAATAAAATTAAGTTGTAGTTTTTAAATAATAAATTATGTTTAGCCCTATGGCCCTTTGGCCCTCGGTTGGAGACGATTTTTTTTGACAGGGCTAAAACGAGCCCTCTGGCCCTCTGGCCCTCGGTTGGAGACGGAGGCAAATATGACCCTGTACTGTTCATTAAAATATTAATATCTTGGAGAATCTTGGAGGGCCAGAGTGCTAAAACGAGCCATCTGGCCAGCCATCGGTTGGAGATGGCCTAAAATTCGAAACCTACCTTTCAACGTAAATGGAAAAAAGTAGAAGAAGAAAAACAAAAGGAATCCAAACGTTTAGTATATTGCTAACTCACATCTTCTAGTATATGCTGGGTCCATTGGATTGAGATTCACTTCACATCTATGTTTGGATTCGGAAGACTAATAGATCTGAACTACTTAAATTTAAACTTATGCATGATATCTATTAATTCATCTTATTGCCCACCTCAAAAAACCGAAAAAATTGAACGGCTTGAATCTCTTTCTTTCTCTGAAGGATATTTGAAGTCCTTAAGCTCCGGAAACATAAATCCAGAGATAACCTAAACTCCAAGTTTCCAACCATACATCATGCCAAAAGCACAAAATGTGAATGTATAGACAGTACAACCCAAGACAAATTAAACTCCAAGTTTCCGGATTGAGATTCATTCTGGATATTTGTGTCCGGAACCCCAAGGACCTAAAGATCTGGACCACATAATTTTAATCATAAGGCCTCCATTAGCCCATCGATCTTACTATCCACTTCATAAAACTCAAAAACTTAAACGGCTATGATCTCTTTCTCTCTATCTTAAATGGCCTAAATTTCGATGTCCTCTACACGTATCCGAAAAGAATCTCAACTTCATATTTCCAGCCATACAGCACCGCAAAAGCACAAAATGTAAAAGTATATAAAGTATAACCCAGGACAAAACTAAAAGCAAAAACAATGAAGAATATTTTCCAGTTTCCACAAAAGTTCTACAAGGCACGTATTCTCGTTGTTCCCTTAACACTTTACATGCAAAATTCTCTCAGCATTATCATACCATGATATACTCTTCTCGTTTTTTTCATGGAGATCTTCGTTCGAAATTTGATTACCATTTGTTTGCAAGCGACAGTCAAGCAATAGATCTCGATGCTTAATTAGGGTTTGGAACTTGGAAGTCAAGAATTCTAAATATATAATTACCTAAAAAGGGTGCTTAAGATTTTCTTTTTGTTTCTGCCGGAGGCTTGTGGTTTAAGAGAGATTCGTAAAGATTGAATTTGATATATTCTTGACTAGACTGGTTGCACAATTATGTAGTGTTGTTAGTTTACGTGTTATAATTAATGTGGATGAGAGTTATATAGACAATGGTTAAATCCTAAACCCTAAACTCTATTACACGAGTAAATTAATAATACCGCGCAAAACCCAGCTTTGAAAAAAAGCCAAAAACACAAAGCTGTAAAACCCAACTTTTTTCACATCTGTTTTACATAAAAGTTTATCAAACACTATAATAATGATTTTTTTTTCAAAAGCACTTTTACAAAAAAGTTTACCAAACACTCTGCTGCTTTATTTCATAGCTGCTTATTATCACAGCACAGCAGAAATAGTTTTTTTTTTCAAAGCACATCAATACCAAACCAGCCCTAAATATCTTCTCGAAAAAAGTTGATTAAATAACAATATAATGGGATCCAATTCATGATACCATTTTTTGTTAACAAGTTTTCACATATGCTTTTGTGGAGCCCACTTTATTTCAACGATCCGAATCGTCTGTCCTTTTGATCTTCCCTCAAAGATCATGTCTACCAAAAATGACTCATATATGAAACCATATGACAGTTCGATTAAGGGTTTAAAGTTTATTTGTAGAACCGTATTCGTCCATTTTATTCACAATAAGTGAATGTCTTAATGATTTTAGATTTGTCTAATTTTTTTGCAAGGATGATTTATGAATGATGTTCTAAAAGATAAAGAGTCGAATTGTTAAAATTCATTACGGAGTAGGTCTCACAAAAACGCGTATCAAAAGTTGTGTAAAAAAAGAATGCCACAGATCTACCCTCAAAATAATTTATACCAAGAAATTAAAATACACGACACTGTGACAAAATGAAACTCCAGATATTTGATATCTTTCTCTTTGAATGAGATCTCAATTCTAGCGACAATTTCTTTAGATATCTTACAACTTGAAGCTCTTTCTTTTCCGATCTAGTACCCCTCCACCACTGCAAGCTCCAATTAGATTCAGGCGTGCTACAATTTTTATATAATCTTCTTATCTAGTTGAGGGTCACAGTTGTTGTCCTCAAAGTGTTCCTCAATCATGGAAAAAAAAGAAATAGTGTTCCTCAATCATGGAAAAACAGAAAATAATCAAATATGCATATATATGGAATGAATGCCGAGCGTATTCAATTACATTAAATCATATTATTTATGTTTTCGATCGTTACAGTTACATTGTCGTTATGTCTCTAGAAACTTTGACCCCATTTTGCCACTAGATCGTTACGCACAAACGGTTTAAAGACAGTATATTATGTTTTTTTTCCTCTTTGATGGCAATTTAAAGACAAATTAAGGATGAAATATGGACTTATATTAAAATAAAATAAATATTTACGCCAAGAAATTGATGTGAAGCAGCGACAAATTCTTGGAGGATAAACCGTTAAATCCATAAAAGAAGACACTAATTATGGCATTGATTGATGTTACATTTGTCACTTTTTATTCAATGCATACCGAGATCGATTATTTTCAATATGTTAGAAACACACTTCGGTACATTAAGTGTCATAACAAAATTCGTTGAATTTTTTTTTAAAGTTTCTAATCAATTGTATTATGATTTAGTGTGCCAAACCGTGCTCCTTGTACACTGAATTTTTTTTTTCCAAAATTAGGAAGAGATTTTTAAGTGTGCAAATACGGAGTGGTACATTACATGTCATTATACAAGTGAATGAACAATTGAAAAATAAAACTTCTTCCATTTACGTAATAACATATGGTATACCAGCAATGTTCACAGAAGTTACAAGTGCCAAAAGCAGCAGACAAAGCTCATATCAGTTTCAACTACTCATCATTAGCGTGATAACTCATTAATTCATTGCTGCAAACACAACTTGGGAGATCCCAATTCTGTTTGAGGGGGAGTATTAACCAAATAACTTTGGATAAGTTTGACTTTCTTGCAACTTGCAAGGATACTAAAATTTTCTCAAAATTAGGAGGCTCTTATGGATAATATAGGAAAATCCCACTAAAAAATATCACATAAAACCTTATTAAAATTTCCATTTATTTAAATTAAACAAAAGTATACCCCACATCAGTCGGTTGATTTAGTTAATTTCTGTTTGAAAACGCGGAGAACTTTAATATATTATATAAAAAATTATTAAATATTCAAACCAAAACTTGGACACTTGCCATTTGAATGGGAGCCACTGAGACCAACCCTAAACTTGGACACTGCCTATAAATGAACCCTAAATATTCACTCGCCCATGCACCGTCACTAAAGTGGCAAGCAATTGATCACAGATTCTTTCCAATATCTTTCTCTGATTCTCCGCCCTCAAAAACCCTAATCCATTTCTCTATATAAACCCACTCTTCTATTCATCTCACACTAAAACCTAAGCCTAAGATCGATCTCATCACAATTCTTGCCCTCTTTCATAGTTATACGTTCTTCAATGGCTCCAAACTTGAGCAAAGTGATATCCGACGTCAAGGGCTCTATGCCGACGTCTTGTTCGTTTAAGCTTGAAAAGTCCAATTTCATGGCAAATGGCCACGTCATCCTCTCGGACGTCCCCAAAAATATCACTCTGACTCCATCCCTCTCCACAGCCGATGGTTGCTTCGTGGGATTCAATGCCATCGAGGCAAGCAGCCGCCATGTTGTTCCCGTCGGCCAACTGAAGGACATCCGATTCATGAGCATTTTCCGGTTCAAGGTCTGGTGGACCACCCACTGGGTCGGATCCAAAGGCCGAGACCTCGAGAACGAGACTCAGATCGTTGTTCTTGAGAGCTCGGACGCCGGGAGGCCCTTCGTCGTGCTCCTCCCCATCCTAGAAGGATCCTTCCGCGCTTCCGTCCAGCCTGGAAACGAGGACTTTCTCGACATATGCGTCGAGAGCGGGTCCACCAAGGAAACCGCCAGCACCTTCCAGAGCGTTCTTTATCTACACGCCGGCGACGATCCGTTTACTCTTGTCAAAGACGCCGTCAAAGCCGCAAGAGATCATTTGGGAACTTTCAAGCTTCTCGAGGAGAAGACCCCACCTGGCATCGTGGACAAATTTGGCTGGTGCACTTGGGACGCTTTCTATCTTACCGTGCACCCTCACGGCGTCATCGACGGCGTGAGGAAGCTCGTGGAAGGCGGGTGCCCTCCCGGCCTCGTCTTGCTCGACGACGGGTGGCAGTCCATCGCCCACGACTCTGACCCCATCACCCAAGAAGGCATTAATCAGACGGTCGCCGGTGAGCAAATGCCCTGCAGGCTCCTGAAGTTTCAAGAAAATTACAAGTTCAGGGACTATGTGAGCCCCACCAGGGGTGACTCTAGTAAAGGCATGGGTGCCTTTATCAAAGACCTCAAGGAGGAGTTCAAGAGCGTTGATTATGTGTACGTGTGGCACGCGCTTTGCGGGTACTGGGGTGGGGTCCGCCCCAATGTCCCCGGCATGCCTGAGGCAGTGGTGGTGGAGCCCAAATTATCTCCAGGTTTGCAGAAGACGATGGAAGATCTGGCCGTTGATAAGATCGTGGCCACCGGAATTGGGCTGGTCCCACCAGAAATAGTTGATCAGATGTACGAGGGGCTCCACTCGCACTTGAAGTCTGTTGGGATCGACGGTGTAAAAGTCGACGTTATCCATGTAAGTTGTTTATTTTTTCTAGTTTTGTATTTTTTTGACTTTTATTGTTATCTAGATTTTGGTCACTGTTGTTTCATTGTCACGTAAAATCTGGTAGGTGTCATAATTTCTGGGTCTAATCTTATTTAATTCTCTTTTTTTTTTCTATATGAAAAAATATTTGTTTGTTTTTTAGGTAATTCGGAACACCGGCATATACGTTTTATGAAAAGAAAAAATTTCACTTGTATAATGTTGTAAAGCGTACCGTTCTGTATTTTGAGCACATTGAAAAATCGTTCGTGTTTGTCATGATTTTGGTTTAGGGGTGTATTCAATTGAGAATGTGAGAGATTTTAATGGATTTATAAATCCATGGATTTTTATGGAGTTTAATTGATTTGTAGAGATTCCATATAAAATTTTGATTCAATTCCCTCAAAATCTCATGGGAAGAGGTGAGATTTGTGGATGCTTAAAATACACTACGAAATCTCTCCAATTCCTTCTAATTCCTCAACTTTCTCAAATTCTTTAAAATCAATTTCTAATTGAATACACCTGGAATGTTATAAACTTCTTTAAAATCTTAATTGAATACACCTGGATTTCTAAGGATTTTAATAAACTATCTTAAAATTCTAATTGAATACACCTAGAATTTCAGATAATCATTTAAAATCCCAATTGAATACCCCTAGATTCATTAAAAGAATTAAAATCCTTTAAAATCTCAATTGAATACACCCCTTATTATCTTTGACTTTGGGAAATGATGGTGTGAGTATTTTAATTTGGTTATTTTGACTTGTTGGTGGCACATTCTATCTACTTTCTCATTTTTGTTGTCATACGAAAATTTCCGTATCTGCGTATTAATTTTGTCAATTAATTAATGTAGAGGACCGGTAATGTTAGTGTAAAACACTTTAAAATAACTCGACTGGTGTGTTTGTTTTTTAAGTTGATGTCTTCCAAGTTCTCGAAATGAAATGAAATGAAGCTTATTTCTAAAGAATCCTATTAAATATACGAGTTTTCAGTCTTTGATTCTAAATTATTTTTTTATTTAACTCTTGTATAGTGTTTTGGTAAGTTTTTAATACGAAAAGAAGCTTATTTCTGAAGAATCTTTTTTAAGTTGATGTCTTCCAAGTTCTCGAAATGAAATGAAATGAAGCTTATTTCTAAAGAATCCTATTAAATATACGAGTTTTCAGTCTTTGATTCTAAATTATTTTTTTATTTAACTCTTGTATAGTGTTTTGGTAAGTTTTTAATACGAAAAGAAGCTTATTTCTGAAGAATCTTATTAGTTACACAAGTTTTTAGTCTCTAATTGTAATTTATTTTGTATTTGTGTTGTAAATAGTTGTTGGAGATGCTTTGTGAGAACTATGGTGGGCGTGTGAAGCTAGCAAAAGCATACTTCGATGCCCTAACATCCTCAGTGAGGAAGCACTTCAATGGCAATGGCGTCATTGCAAGCATGGAGCACTGCAACGACTTCATGTTCCTTGGCACAGAAGCAATCACTCTTGGCCGTGTTGGTACGTCTTCGAGTAATTTAATTAATTTAATTACATGTATTATCTTATAATTTTTGTAATTAACATCAGTTGATCAATTCCTTTGCGTGTCAATTTAGGTGATGACTTCTGGTGCACGGATCCATCTGGAGACCCAAACGGTACGTTTTGGCTCCAAGGGTGCCACATGGTGCACTGCGCCTACAATAGCTTGTGGATGGGGAATTTCATACACCCCGACTGGGACATGTTCCAGTCGACCCACCCTTGCGCCGCCTTCCATGCCGCCTCTAGGGCCATCTCCGGCGGTCCTATTTATGTGAGCGACGCCGTTGGAAAGCACAACTTTGACTTGCTCAAGACCCTGGTGCTGCCCGATGGCTCTATTCTCCGGTGCGAGTACTATGCCCTCCCTACTCGTGATTGTCTCTTTGAGGACCCTCTTCATGATGGTAACACCATGCTCAAAATATGGAACCTCAACAAGGTAACCCTAAGAAACCTATCTTATTAATTTTTTAGAAAACATTCTTCGTTAAATGTTTATGTTGTTAAACTATGAATTTGAAAAATTAATATTCTCTATATACATACCTCGTCATAGTTTGAAAAGAAACATACGACAAAAGAACGTTACTATTTTCTCTAGTTTATCGATCTTCTAGACTAATCACGTACTGACCTAATAGTCCTTTTGATACATATGTAACAGTACACCGGAGTTCTTGGGGCATTCAACTGCCAAGGAGGAGGGTGGAGCCGGGAGAACCGTCGCAACCAATGTTTTGCTGAATTCTCCCACCGGCTGACCGCCAAGTTCAACCCCAAAGACATCCAGTGGAAGAGCGGCAAGAATCCGATCTCCGTCGACGGAGTCGAGGCCTTTGCCATGTACTACCACCAGTCCAAGAAGCTAGTCCTATCCAAGCCAAACGAGGATGCAGAACTCTCACTTGACCCCTTCAACTTTGAGCTCATTTTTGTGTCCCCGGTGACTGTTTTATCCGCTAGCAAAAATGTCCAGTTTGCCCCCATTGGCTTAGTCAACATGCTCAACACCGGCGGTGCCATCCAATCATTCAACGAGGAGGGCAATTCCGTCCAAATCGGGGTTAGAGGCGCTGGAGAGCTGAGAGTATTTGCTTCTGAGAAGCCAACAAGTTGCAGAATTGGTGGAAACGACGTCGCCTTCGAATATGAGCAACAAATGGTCGTAATCCATGTGCCATGGCCTGCTTCTTCCAACTTGTCTAATGTGAAGTACATATTTTAATTAATCTAGATTAAACCTTGATTATTTATGTTAAGGACCAAGTTTTCTTGGAGTTTGGAACTATAATTAAGACCAAGTGACTTGGTCTATTTTGAACAAGTATTTGCTAATTAACGACTGTTTAAAATAATTTCAAATAATACAATACTTTTACCTTTCATTCTTTGGGTAATCTTTGTTGCCGCAAACATTTTTGATTTGATAAAATTCAAGGTATGTCGAAAGTAAAAGTGAATATTTGAAGAGATTAGCGATGAAGAAAATCTATTGCTCCTAAATATTCCGTTATGGTGTTTGAAAGAGAAGTTTTTTAATGGATAATCTTGCGTTAAACAAAACAACTTCATTTGTTCTTTCAACATGCCTAGTTAGTTTCTCAAATATTTCAGACTGTTGCCCAACTTAATAAATCAACTCTAAACATTTATATAGTTTGTCAAACAACGGCCAAAACATCGAGCCTCATATTAGCACACTATCCACACTTTGTACGTATTCTCCTTTTATCAATGAATATCGTACTTTCCTTAAAAAAAAAAATAAAAAAAAAAACAACCGCAAAACATCAGTCAAATGTGATTGAAATAGTTCAGTTCAGGCCGCCGAACCACCTTACAGGATCATCCGTCTTTTGTTTTTAAGTTCTTGGCCCAGCATATGCATGCAAGTCTCGTACGAACACCAAAAGGGCTTTCTGGCCCAATAAAAATCCCAAAGGCGAAGTCAAGAGAGTCCAACAAACAAAATAATAAATAAATTAAAAGAAAAATAATAAATAAATACAAACTGTTATCTCTTGGTGAGAATCTTGAAATCTTTTAATTACATCTATTTATCGTATATTATGTGGTTAATTTTTATCAGATACTGTTTATATTCAACATATATAAAAAAATTTACAATAATTTTTTACTGTACACCATAAAATAAATTCGATATTATAGAAAAATCCCAAAATTCTTACGAAAAGGATCCGACAAATATCCTGGACTCTTAAGAAGCAAGTTAAATCATAACTTCGTCGAACTTCAATATAATATCAATTTCCAAAAACCCGAAAAGGAGCATCCAAAATCTCGGCCCGCGGTTTGATTTCCTGGATGAGCACGACGTCGTTTATGGACAAGCAGTAATGGATCTGTCGCAGGGATCAGCGCAGCAGCAGCACCACCAGAACGACGACTTCATCAACCTGATGAAGATTGACAGCAACACCAGCAACAGCCACCTCGAAGGCGGAGGAGAAGAAGAGTATCAGGTCGGCGGGGGCGGCCATGGAAGTGGGATTTACAACAAGGAGAATCAGGATATGCTTCCCAGCTACGATTTCCAGCCGATTCGCCCCGTCGTCGGTGCTTCTTCTCCGTCGCCGAGTTTCGATGCCGCGCCTAATCTTGGAGGAGGAGGACCGACCAGGGCGTGGAACTCCGGCGAGTCCAAGTCGAACGCTGCATCTCCAATCAGAGTAATAATTTCTTCCTTCTTAATTTCATTTCTTCCTGCTTAATTTCATGTTTGCATTTGCTTGTAAACTCGTCGTGGTGATCGGAAGTGAATCGGAATCCAAGAGAGCTCCTTCGATTTTTAGTTGGACTTGAATCTAACTTTTAAAGCTGGCTGCTCAGTAGATTATATCGTCACTAATCAATGTTTAAGTAAGAATTATTGACCTAATTGAATCTGCAGTTTCTGTAAACCTACATTAGTTTGCTTGGGAAATTGAGTGATCAGTTAGTTGAGGAAGAACAATTTCATAAGTAGGCAGTCGATACATCATAGGGATTCGACGTAAGAACGGAGTGCCGGCTGTTGACTACCTGACGCACTCCCAATCCTCCTTTATCCGGGGCTTGGGACCGGCAGCATAAGTAGGCAGTCAATACATTCATTAGTATTTAAGATTGGGAATTTTGTCAGTTCCTGGCTGTTTTTACCAGCCAAACTAGCAAGGATCAAGAGGTTATTACTTACTTAAAAGCTACAAAATGTTAGGCGATGGAGGCTTTTCAGTTAGTTATGTTTGATTTCTTTCGGAAGTGAGATTCTGTATGGTTGTTTTTGATGTTAGCATATTGAAATTTTGTGTTTGTTGTTAATGGAGGATTGTACCGAATTTTCCTGAGGGCAGAGTATGTCCTAGCATGGCAGCTTTTTGATTGATCTTGAAGCTTTTTTGGTTGATCTTGTTTCCGTTTATGTTATTATTTAGGAGTAGATTGGTCGTAGTTGATGATATTGGAAGTATTAATATATTGTCTACCATGATGGGCTTTTATCCATGTTGTGTACAATCCGAAAGGGATATATGATCGATAGCTGTATGTGGGATTTACCATGTGGTTTATTTTCATTTACATGGTGCTATTCCTTGTTTTCTACAGAATTATGGGTCAATGGATTCCCTTGAACCTGCAAAACTTGTTTTAGAGAAGGACCGCAATGTCGTAATTCTGTCAGAGATTGACCAGACCATGAAGAAGCATGCTGATAATTTGCTACATGTGCTGGAAGGTGTTAGTGCACGACTAACACAACTAGAGAGCAGAAGCCGCAATCTTGAGAATTCTGTCGATGATTTGAAGGGTATACTTAGAGATGTATGTTGCCCTTTTACCCTTCTTTTTGGTGTGAACTTAACATATGGTTGCATTTGGTGTTTAGTCAAATATCTTCTGTTCATCTTTAATTCTTTCAATTAACATTGGCAGTATGATTGATGCATATGCAGGACCACTATTAGTTTTTACCCTGTCTGTGTGCCAGTGCATGTCACTTATAATCTCAGAACTAAATAGAGAGGGTAGAAGCAAAGTTGCGCATCCCCCATGCTTTACTAAACCTGAAATTCTTAAAAACTTTCGATCTTCTAGGCATTTAAATTGATTGGTTTTTGCAAACATTTGGTTTTTTTCAACATCACACACAGGTGCAAACAGATGTTAAGGATTTGAAGGATGCGCAAGAAATGGTAGAACTGAATCTTGCAAGGATACAAGTATCGAATACAAAGATAGACCCTCAACTGGAATCTCAGAATGCTGGACAACGACATACTGAGCAGACAGCCGCCTCTGCTCCTCAACATTCTCATCAACAACATCCCCCCATGAACCTTCCTCCCTCACTTCCTGGTGTTTCTTATCCAAATGCTCCTCCCCAACCTATCCCCCAAAATGCACCACATGCGGTTCAACTTCCAAATCAGTTTTCTCAGAACCAGATCCCTCCTGTCCCTCAGAGAGACCCTTATTTCCCAGCACCTGGTCAAACTCAAGAAGCCCCAAATCATCAATACCAGTTACCTCCAGGTCAGCAGCCTGCCCCCCTTCCTCCAGTGCCACCGCATCAACAATTTCAACCTACCACTCAACCACAGTATTCCCAGCCGCCACCCCAGCTGCCTCAACAGCACCCTTCGCTTGCACCTGTTAATCCCTCTCAAATCCAGCCTAAATTAGGCCACCACACTGAAGAGTCACCTTATATCCCTTCCCAGAACTACCCACCAAGTCTTCGCCAGCCACCTTCTCATACACCCAGCGGTCACCCCCCTTCCCAACAGTATTACAGTCCAGCTTCAAATGCATATGAGCCACCTTCTAGCAGACCCAGTGCAGGGTATCCTTCCGGGTATAACCCTCCATCTGGGCTTGGTGAATCGTACCAATACGGTGGACCACCTTCTCAATATGGCGGTAGCTCCACAATGCAACCACAACATCACTCTTCTTCTGCTACAGCTCAAAGTGGAGGCAGTGGTTACCCACAGCTCCCAACTGCTCGGGTGCTACCACATGCCAACCCTACTCCATCTGGGGCGGGTGGCAGTCCACCTTCATCCGGTAGTGGAAACAGAGTACCCATTGACGATGTGATTGACCAAGTGGCAACTATGGGTTTCTCCAGAGACCAAGTTAGGGCTGCAGTTCGGAAGCTGACAGACAGCGGCCAGTCAGTTGACCTCAATGTGGTGCTAGATAAGATGATGACTGACAGCGATGTTCAGCCACCCCGAGGATGGTATGGCCGATAGTCTGGTGTGGGTTTCGGACTGATGTACATGAAGTATCACTTGTTCCTAGATCATCTATCGCTCGGAACTTAGGAGACTACAACCCTTTATGTGCTTTGCTTTTTGTCTTATATTTTCATCTCTCACTCTATATAACTACCTCTCAATACACAATTTCTCTTTTTGGTGCGGGTGCTAATATTAGTATTGCGGATTTTCCCTTTTCTATTTTTTGTACTTTTTTAGTTGTTTTTATATTCGTAAATATACTAAATGGGGTTGAACTCGATTGGAAGGAAGGCTCGGTGTTCTGGTCAACTGATTTAACTCCAACTGGAAGGACTGAGGCACAATGTTTTGATCAACTGACATAATTATGACGAGAAAACGTATGTATTAAGGTGTCATTAAGAAAACAAGGAAAAGATTCCTTATTTAGCAAAATAAAGGAAGAATCATTGTCCCCAATTTTTGTCCTGGGCGATGAATGATGATGGGCCGCCAGTGTTGGTGGGATTGAAAGTTGAAACAGGTTTTTAATTTCCAAGAAAGAAGAACAAGTTACGAAGTAACGATAAAATATGAAAACGAGAGTCTTGAAGCACGTGCATACTTGGTCTAGTAGGAGAATATTTTCAGTGACGGAATCATGATCTGGAATACTAAATGCCATAATATAAGTGATTGAATTTTTTTTAAAGTTTTCAACCAATTGCATAATTACACTTGGCGTATCAATTGTATTTTCGGTGCACGAAAAAATTTCTCATCTAGTAGTATATGATCTTCACCTAATTAGCTTAAGTCTTAGTTTGATTTTCATGGTTATGATAACGGATAACCATATACATTTGTAGTAGGTTCGATTCTTTTTTTTTGTTTTTCTTTTGAAAGGGGTTAAAATTTGAACTCGAGATTTTAAGTGCAAAATTGAATATATCCCCATTGAGGGGCTAGGTACCCTTTGGTATGTGGGATGTGACGGAATAGAGTGGGACGAGGCGTTCTGTTCCACGTTTGGTACGCCTAAAACAGGTGGAACGCGCTGTTCCACGGGACGAATTTTCGTTCCGCCTCACCCCCTGAAACGACTTGTTCAACATCTGTGGAATACAAAATTATAACCTCTTCGTCTCCTTCTTCTTCCTCCTTGTTTCCATCCCAGGGCATCTTTGTTCCCTCTTCGTTCCATCCCGTCTGCATACCAAACGATATATGCTTACTTTTGCTATGGGGGTTTTGTTACGGTTGATTTGTCAAAAAAACGTTTTGGGACACATTCATAATTTTAATAAACATTATGGTAGAAAATTGCAATTTTGCAACTATTTTTAGTCCCCACATTATTTCACGTATTCCAAATTTGGTACAGTGTCGTCTCTCTCAGAAATCCTGTTTGCTCGGCCGAAGCTCTCCAAACCCCCCCCCCCCAACAAGTCACAGTCGCAAAACCCCTCTCTCCTCTTGCATATTTCTCCCCGCCAAATCTTTCTCTCACTCCCGCTTGGATAAACCCCCCTCGATTACCACTTTTTTACGATCCTTGCCCCTCACCCCTTTCCCTCTGCGGCTATGTATCTTCCTTAAATTTGCATCCATGCCCTCGGCGCATTGCTCTGCGCTGCGTATCGTAGCTGAGCCAATCCCTGTGCGTGAAGCTTCAGGAGGCATTTGTTGCTCGATTCTTCTGCAACAATCTGTAAGATTTTATGCTTAATTGTTTGGTTTTGGTTTGATGTTCGTTCTAAACCTAAATTATCATCGCCTAATCCAATTCGTAGGGTTAAATTCTGTTGATTGTGTTGGATTACTTATCGTTTTGTACGTAATTGTGAAAGCCTCTGGGTTTTAGGAGCTTAATTTGGTAACGCTTACCAATATGTATAAAATTGCATTTAGGTGTTGGTTGGTGATTGTTTTTTTGGGTTTTCGGTATCTTGATCGTTGCTTTGGGCATCAAACATTTCGTTAGAATGTCAATTGTTCGACGATCATCGCTCATTTTTTAAATGATTAGTGAAGAGAAGTACTGAAATTGAATGCAATTCTCTGTCTATGAAAGTTCGATTATTTCATGGTGGCAGTTAAGTAGCTTATAAATTTTCGCTGGCACGGGTATGTCTATTGCACAATGTGTATTAAGTTGATATGGTTATGGTGCAAGGATTTCAGTGTGTGGGCACTTCAATTGTTTTCGTGCCACCTAGTGGGAAAAGGCTTTGTTGTGTTGTTGTCGTTGTTGTATTTGTATTTTCTGTTAAACGGGGATGATTGTCCGTTCTGATTACTTTCATTTTCATTTTTGTCTTTCTTGGAAAGTAAATTTAGGTTCTTTTGCTGGAATATTTGTAGGCAAACAAGTGATTTGGTTTCTGCACTGGGAAACTGGAACTATTGGTGGTATGAGCCAACGTTCTAGTGATTTCGAGGGATCAATGGAGTTAAAAGTTTCATCTCCAAAACCAGGGGGTCTTTCTCCTTCTGATTGCAGTAATGATCCTGAGGAGAAGGAAGTAAGTGATGATGATGATGACGATCGAAACCACAAGCATCGTAGACGAGATACTCGCTCTCAGTCTTCGGAGAGAGATACTTTTGATCAAGTCACAACAAGGCCATTCAGAAGGCGAAACAAACCTTTTGTAAATGGGAACTCTTTTAGAGATAATGACTCTCAAGCAAGTACACCATGGAGAAATCACAATTCCACTGACTTTTCTGTAAAATTTGATAAAAGACGCCCAGGGTCAGCATCACTGCCTCGAGCACCTTTTGATTTAAATCAAAGAATCCGGGCAAACCAAGCATTTCCTGTTGATGTTGGTCCTGGTAGGGGAAGAGGACGGGACTCTGGATCATGGAGCCAATGCGGTCCTAGGTTCAACTCAGATCTTGCTTCTCAAATGGTTCATCAGGGCTCCATCCATCCGAGTCTTTTTGCTGGGCGTGGATTGCCAAATGTTTCAGGTGCACAAAGTGGATCCTGGAATGCATTTGGGTTGATTCCAGGAATACCAAATGGTTCCATGGACACACTACATTCCATTGGCTTGCAAGGAACACTCAGACCACCAATCCATTCTTCATTAAATATGGGGATTCCTCGCCAAAGATGTAGAGACTTCGAGGAGCGTGGATTTTGTCTCAGAGGGGATGTGTGCCCAATGGAGCATGGTATGAATCGGATTGTTATTGAAGATGTCCAGGTACATTTACATCTTTCCTGTTACTTGAACATCTGTAGCATATTTGACACTGCACAATGACTTGAAAAGTAGGGGAAAATTATTTTGTCGCTGAGTATCTTTAAACTGAGGATCACTCCACATCTACTGGGGTTCATATTCACCTTAATGTAGCACTTTTTTCTTGGCAAATAATAATGTGTTATTTATCAACTTGGCGGCAACTTGAATGATTCAATTTCATGCAAGTACTTTAGAGAGAGAGATGACATGTTTCTGCATTATATTTATGTTTCAATATGGTGGACAAGCAAACTTTATCTCGTTTTGTCTGCACCATCAACCGGCTTCTTCCAGTCATTATGCCTGACTGTTTAATTATATACTGTAGAAGCATTGGCATGTGCATGCCATATTTTGGCTCTGAAATCTAGTGACTTGATGATCTTTTTTATTTTTTTGTTTTGATGTTGTATTCTTTTCTTTTCATAACACAAATGAATCGCTTGACTTGAACTCATTCATCATTTAGTTATGCTGGGATTTCCCTTGGATGGAAGTTTCATTATTTTTAAACGTTATTTCTTTGTTGGTCTGTGTTTTTATTTATGTCCTATGTTCTCCCTATTACAGAGTCTTTCCCAGTTCAACCTCCCTGTGTCGATTCCAAGTGCACACTTACTGGGAAAACCCACAGGCCCGGGATCTCTACCATCAGTGAGTGCATCCTCAACTGCATTGATGAATAGCAAAGGCTTACATGTAAAAACAAGCAAGACTGCTGTCACTGATGATGGCTTGGGCTTGAATGGTTCATATTCTGGTACTGGTTATGCAGGTGGTGCTGATTTGTATGACCCTGATCAACCCCTGTGGAATAATAACTGTCCTGAAACCTCAAATGCACTTCTAGGCATGCGATCACCCAGGAATGATGAAACTGAAACCTTGTCGAATGATGCTGATAATGAATTCCCAATTAGAAGCGTTGGGGCAGCTGCCAGTTCACAGAGTACAAGCATGTCCGTGTGGGGTAGAATTGGTAGTTCAAAAAGTAGATTAGATGTGAAAGAGAAAATTGATCCTGTAATAAATTCTTCAGATTATATTGAGAGTGATACTAAGGAAGTTAAGGAGGCAGTCAACACTCAAACTCCACCACGTCAAGGAAAGCGTATAATTACAGAGGATTGCCCAAACACCATGGATTCATCACCCAAGACACCTTTTGATTCCACGCGTAACATTCGGAGACCATCTCAAAAAGCACTGCGTACTCTATTTGTCAATGGCATTCCTCAGAAAAACAACAAAAGGGAGGCTCTTCTTTCTCATTTTAAAAAATTTGGAGAGGTCATTGACATCTACATTCCATCAAATAGTGAACGAGCTTTTGTCCAGTTTTCAAGGAGGGAAGAGGCTGAAGCTGCTTTAAAGGCACCTGATGCTGTAATGGGTAACCGATTTATCAGGTTGTGGTGGGCTAATCGTGATAGCATTCCTGATGAGGGGATAGGCACTCCCAGTGTTTTTTCTGGAACTCCCCATGGTGTAACAACTGGTTCAGTACCACCCCATTCATCTGGTGCTAGTATTAGCAAGGATAATCTTCAGTCTGCAGCTCTAAAGGGTAGTATTGCCCATGCATCTGATGCTTCTCTACCTGCCACTGATAACTCCAAGCTTATCACCTCAAATGATCCCAAGGCCCCACCTCTGCAGAAAAAGCTAGAGAGTTTGGAGCAGTTGAAGGAGGAACTTCGCAAGAAGCAGCAAATGTTAGCCCAGAAAAGGAATGACTTTCGTCGCCAGTTGGACAAGCTTGAGAAACAAGTAAACCAATTGCCCTTGCCTTGAATGTTTCATTTTCTTGCTAATGTTTTTTAGTACGAGGCATATAATATTTTGGCTTGCTAACTTTCTTATGTTATAACTTATACTACTATATCAATGTGCATTACAATTCTTCTTTGCCGAGACAATCTGTTTTAATGGTTTCGAAGAGGACCCTGAAAAGGGTTTGAAATTGATGGGTATAAAGATGTTGGCAAAGTTATTAGTGAGGCAGTTATAAAACTATATTCTTTCATTTATCAGTGATTCTCAAGGTTTGACCTTTTGCAGGCTACTGGACCCAAGGGTGAGACAGACACAGAGCAAGCTGCTAAGAGACCCAAAGTGGGAACAACAACCGAAGCTGATAAAGCTGCTACTCCAAGCTCCTCAAATCCTGCTCCTGCGGATGCAATGCATGCTGAGATGACTGATAAGAACAAATCAGGGGAGAACATTTTGTCCGGTAGTCCAAAAACCAGTTCACCTGTGATGCTGCAGCAATCTCCTAGCTTGAAGCTGCAGACTATCCGTCCTTTGGGACCACTGGGGCCACCTTCTCCTTTCAATAGATATAAATTAGACAACCGTCCTACTGGTTTTATAATTCTTCCTCCTTTACCAGTTGGATTTGCAAATGTAAGTCTCTCTCTCTCTCTCTCTCTCTCTGAGAAATTGTCTTTTATGGTTGCACTTTCTATTAAGAGAACGCTATGCTCTTGGATGTCTGGTATTATGTAGATCATAATCATGAGCAATAAAGCAATGCGTGTGTTTTCTAGTTAGTATGGTAAGATTGAAAGGTAGTGACATGAAATGAGGCATTAGGAAAGAAATCAGGTTAAAGTAGCAGATGCACAAAATCATTTCTATCAAATGCAAACATGCTAATTTACAACATAAATTCAAGTCATGAGAGACTACCTTACGCATGTACTTTTGGTCTTTGGTTTGTTTAACTTGTCTATTAAAAGGAGTATTTTCGAGAAAAAGATTTATCTTAGTAAAGATTTTTTTACAGAATATGTTAAAAAGACCCCATCGACTAAAAGGGGAACTTGTTACAGTGAGAGCCTGCAGTTTTTCTTTCAATTAGGAACTGAAATGTCTTTCACTCTTTCCTTTCATTTAAGTAGCCGACGCCATGCAAGATAGGCTTCGTTTTATTTCTCTGTTGATACCTTTTTTCCTATATCCTTCATATTTTCACTTTTATCACAATGAAATGGTCTGGAATCAGTTTGTCTTGAGATATTTTATCTATGTACCAATGAAAGGTAAACTGATGTTTTGTTCTTTGCAGGTTGCTATTATGAAGGAACACTTTTCACCCTATGGCGATCTTTCTACTGTGGAATTAGAAGATCTGGAATCCCGTGATTGTGGTAGTGAGTTAGAGAAATCAAAGGATTGCTCAGCTCGTATAACTTTCACTACACGCCGTTCAGCAGAGAGGGCATTTCTCAACGGTAAATGCTGGGAAGGGCATGATCTGAAATTTACGTGGCTGACATTTAGTATTTCCAGCAATGACCATAGTGGCAGAGAAAACTCTCCATCTACCACTCCTAAGGGGCCACTACTAGCTGATGCTGAGCCTGTTGCAGATAAGGAAGCATGCATTGTTTCCCAGGAAGCTGCTGCATCAGGAAATGGAGAACCGGAACATTCTGAAGGAATAAGTGGTGTTGAGCACATGGAATCGGATGAACATGCCGAGCCTAGTCCAAGATCAACATCAGGCGAGAAAGAGTCATCCCAAGTCGACGCATTGTAATCTAAATGCGGGCTAATTTTCGGATTTGTACAGTCAGGTAACTACTAAATCGGAGAAATTCTAATTCTTCCGGGAAAACCCTATGCAAATTAGCAATTGTTTAAATTTTTATTTTTCTAGTGTTTATTATTGTACGCATGGGATCTGTAAAAAAGGGAATTGCCTTATTTTTGACATTCACCGGAGGATAGTTGAGTTGAGTTGAGTGGTGTATCATGTTCGTCGGTTCGTCAGTTCGTCGGTCGTCTTTCTTCTTAGATATGTGTAGGAACAAGCAGCAGCAGCAGCATTAAAGTTGAGAATTTCTGTTGAAACGTTTAAATTGTTACATAGAAAAGTTACTTGGGATTTTTATTCCCTTTCAGTTTTATTTTACGTAAGTTGATAGATCCACTTCTTTTACTAAATTCTCGCTGGATTCCGATGCTATTGCTTCTGTTTTCGTATATGGAAAGGGATCCTCTCCGGATCCCTTCCTCCCAATCCACCAAATCAGGGAATCCGTATCATTAAAATTTGATTCAACGGTTACAAACAGATGCTTAATTTAAAAGTTATAATAACTTCAGACGATGGATCAATTTTGGTAGATTAGGAGGAAGGGATCCGGCGAGGATCTCTTTCCTTCGTATATCTGCTCTGTGAAAAAATCACTCATTTGGAAGTGCTTTTAAAATGACTGAAAATACTTTTAGTGAAAATCTACATGTGGCTCATGTAGTTGACAACTTTTAATTTTATATCTAAATTTTAACAAATTTCACTATAGAGGTTTAATTCTAATATTTTTACCAATCTTTCGACCTTTTATCACCACGTAGACTAATAATCCAACTAGGCCAATCGTTTTTTTGTTGGAAATATTGAGTTTTCGGATTACAAGCATTTGACGAACTCCCTCCACGTGTGATTACTGAGGGGGTAAATTGGCTGAAAAAATAGTTTAAAGAAAAATTGACACTATCTAACGTCATCGTTTGAGGGGATAAATCATAAATGGCAGTTTACTCTTAACAATTTACACTGCGTCAAAAAGAAGATTCGAACTCAGGTGAAAGAGACGAGAAGACTAACCATTACGCACTTTTATCGTTTGGCAATAATTTGGAGAAAGAGAAAAATATTACTTAGCATTGAAAAGCAACCACCAACATCCATGCTGCGCGCACAGAGCTTTCATATATTAAGACCAATTCCACGGCATTAGTCTTTCGGTCGCCACACATCACCGTTGGTCGATTTCAGGGAGTTTTTTTCGGGTGTTCAGCAGCCTCTCCTACTTATACCCAATCCCGTGTGAACACGTGTCCAAGTTTTGACGTGTCCACCCGGGATTGGGTGTAAGCAGGAGTGGCTGCTGAAAATTCAGTAGCAAGTCTTGTTCTTTTCGGGTACCGCGGGATCTGATAAATAGGCAAACGGCAGTTTTCCATGCCACCCCTTTTGATACACAGAAAATGAGCGGCACGCCGACGTGATTCCAGAAAGAGAAACATCAGATTGCTGACAACTCTCATTTTGGCTTGCACAGCCGCAACGGTTAACAGACAATGTCGGTCTCATATGTCAAGCAACCGCCATATTGGCAAGCTGAAGCTGCTTCTCGAGAGGCAGGTAATGCTTCAGAGATACACAGGTGCTATGCATTACTCTCAGTAGGAAAACTGCCGTGGAACTCTCACTTTTGTCGATGGGTTGCATGTCAGGCGGGACATCCTCACCCCGCTTGATATGTGTGGTCCAATTGTAAATGCGTTCTGTCGATGCTAAAAGAGAAGGAACGATGAATTCCACAACTCCTCCCCAACTAGAGTCTGAGAGAAGAGAGGATAGGGTGACTGGTAAATCGCTCAGCACGGCATGTTGGTCCAGAATCAGAAGAGGCATATATTTGCTCCAGCTACCAGATAGCAATCCAAGAAACTGTAGCGCCTGTCGGAGAATTAAGGTCAAAATTATCCACCATTTAGATGGAGCAAATGCTTAAATTTCATATCGCTATCATATCAATACCAGATGCTAAGGAACAAAAGGTTATGCACAAGCAAGCCCATCTTGCAGTGCACAAAACTCGAGAGTGAACAAAAAGAACTTCAATGAAGGAAATGAATGCAATTCTCAGTATCAACAAAGTGAATTAACGCGTAGTACATACCGTGGAAGGGTAAGTCGATACACAGCTGATTTCAACTGCATCAACAAGCCACTGTCTTTTGACACTTCCATCTGCATGTTGCAAAGCTGCTACAACTTCAATGAGCACATCCCAAATACCTGCAAATATGTAAAGTTCAAAGCAATGTCAGGTTATCAAAATTGCTCTAGTACACCTTTCACAGTATATCCGTTTTCTTAACGTTGATTAACCATTACGTAGAGAAACTAACCATATTACAGTTTAAAAAATGAACAGATGATTAAAAAAATCCTAACCATTTGATTGAGTGTTCAATATCAAAGACTTTAACCTTCCCAGCTCAGTCAATGGGATGGAGCCAACGCTAACTAGCTTAGCTTTGGTTTGAAGCTTTTTCAGAACTTGAATAAGTTGTCCATCTTTTTGCTGCAAGTCCTCCTGGGTAACCTGTAAGATCCATGTAATTAAATGACTTGAACATGTGAGCGGCAGCAGGTTCAACTAAAACATTTGTATCTTAATGGCTTTTAATATAAATGAAGCCGTACTGACATATTGATAGCGCGTTGTAACTTTCTAGATTAAACTTCTACTGAGCTTGAAAAGAAACAGAAAAAATATCATAGGATTTTCTGAAGGTTGCAAGTTGCAACTCATTTTTGTTTGCATATTCTCCAAGCAGCAAGACATAATAAGAGTTGCTGTAGGAATGCATATCAATAGAAGCGTGTATTAGTAAGTATATGGTTATAGTATACCTGCAGGAAGTTCAACAACCAACTTTTACGAGCCTTCCCAAAGCACCTAACTGCTTCAGACCACTCCTCTACGAAATGCTCTCCTGCTGTGGCAGCTAACTGCGTCACATGCATCAAGGAAAAGAGCACCTCCAAGCAATTTTCTATGTGAGATATGTACTCTAGAGAGTCAAGGGAAGCTTCATCTAAACACTGATAGATACCCTTCCAGCATGAAATCCGTAATAAGCTTGTCTCATTGGTGTCATATGATTGATATGAAGTAAATGAAGAGAAGTAGCTACAGACATCATCAAACATTTTCTCAAGCCTTGAACCTGAGAATACTTTGACGAGATCTACAAGATGACCAAGAATACAAGATTGCAGCTTTAACTCAAGTGTTCTGAATCTGGACAAGTCAGACAGCTCATCAAGGAAACTTAGAAGTGGATCAAACTTATTTGCATGAACCAATGAGAACTTTACACATTCCTCCCTAAGGGATCCCTTTTCAAGAGATACGTCTGTTGGAAACAACTTAGCAACCTGAGCTTCGTATCTCATGCAGCGTCTGATGATAGCACCCCAATCCAAGGTTGGCAGCCTAGGAGCTTGTGAAAGGCACCTTATCACAGTCACTACTGTGCAAACATGAGGGGCATTGCCTGTCTGAATACAATAATTCAATATATCAGAAAAGACCCATAGTTATATCAGCAATCAAATACCTGATGTCGGTTTGTTTCACATATTCATCAGCCGAAAGGGAAAGAAAAAAGGACACCTGTGCACCATAACAAAACAAGTAGCATACCCCGCTAGAAGTGAGATGCATCAGCCATGAAGAAAGCTTCAAAACTGAACTGTCATCTGCAAAACTTTGGGAAATAGATTTTGAACCACCTGCATCAGTATTGCTACTATTGTCAACATTGACAACTTCCTTGGTAAACAAATGATTTCGAAGAAACGAAACTGCCCATGCAGCATAATGTTGCAATTGACGATCATCAGAATTCTGTGCAACAAGAAACAAATCCTGCATCAACGATGTCAAATACTGCTCACAAGTAGGACTTGAAAGTAGAGGACCCATGAGATAGCAAGATTCCTGTCCAGCACAACCAAAAAAATATTTATACACGTGAATCAGAAAACCAAACAACAAAATAGGTATACATTTACTTAGAATAGAAAATTTAATACCTTGTGGTCATAAGCTGTCTGCACTGAGGTTGGAGGCTGCATGTCAAACAGGATCCCAGCACCTGCTCCTAGAGCATTAACAAGTCCAAGCATCCCACCCAAATGGACTAAAGGAGGATAAGGATTTGAATAGCATTTTCTGAACAATTCCAGTAGACCTTTTACATGTTCAACCTCAATAAAGTGCAACCCTCCGTTCAGTGTACAGGCTAGAAGGTTTCCGGCTCCTACGCAAGATGACATCAGTAAACTTTGATAGAAGGTCCCATATTTTTTGACAGAGACCAATTCAGAAATGAGCTCCTTATAGCCATTCACTAAAAGATGTACTTCATTATCATCCATCAGTTCTACTCTTTGACAGAACTCCACTATAATTGGAAGTGCAAGACAGGACCCTACTGATAAGACTATCTCAGAACCCCGAGAGCAAGATCCAGACCCTTGAACCAGAGTAGTCATATGTGGAATCCATGAAACAATTAAGCCCTTTATCTTAAGAACAGCATCATGTGCCCCAGTCCTGTACATTGTACCAACAGTACTCGCCAAACCAAGAACAAGTCCAGCAACACCCCAGATATCTTCGAGGAAGTCATCAGAGTTCTCATGTGACAGTTCAGAAGTTGTATTCACATCTATACCAAAAGTGCTAGGTGGGAAATATGCAGACAGACTTTCCAAAACATCAGATGGAAACTGAGTGAGCTGACCTATCACCAGGGATAATGCCTTAACTATCATACCAAGCAAGTCTGTTTCCGACATCTTGCCTGTTTCCTTTTCCATGTCAGATTTACCAGCAGCATCAACCCTGGTCAGAAGATCTTGGCAAGAAAACCCCAAGGCAACCCCACAAGCTCCTCTAACAAGGGTGCTACTGCTTCTACACATAACCTAAAATCATGCACTAACAGTAAAAAAAACATGCAGACAATAGCACAAAACTATTCCAGTGCCTATTTATCAAGGTAACTATAAAAATTATTTTTCTGATCTCAGATGATTCATAGGCAGGAGGTCAACACCAAATTAAAAAAAAACAGATACAGAAGAAAGAAACAAGAATAGCATCAAACAGAACTTACAAACCTCGACAAGTCCAGTGATATTCTCAAACTTTTGCTTATGATCAGTTACATGTAGGCAACTTGAGATCAATCCAAGAGAAATCGCAGCAGTCCATCTGCGGTGTTCATGTTCAGGCTGGACCAACCACTTCAACAGAAATTTTGAGGCAGCTGATTTAATAGTATGAGCAGATGGAGGCAAGACCTAACAAACAGCAAACATAGGTAAAACTTAAGGCCGAACAAAGCATGTGAGACATAGTAAAGAGGCATAGTAACCATAAAATTCAAGCATGAGAGACCTTACCGCACAAAGTGCACCAACAGCCAGTGCAATATTTTCAGCAGATCTAGGAATAGCCTCTTCTGCCGCTTTTATCATACTCTGGACATTAGATAAAGCAAAAAAGAAGGAAATTCAGCACAGGCTCAAATAACCAGAGGGTAAATTCTGTACACATAAAGCAAAACAAGACAGTGAACCTTCAGAATGTCACTAGCAGCTTTAGCAGTTTTATCCAAGACAACAGAGGAGATTTGATTATCAAAGGATAAGATATCCGCCCCCAGCCAACGTCGCACAAAGGACTTCCAAGATTGGAGTGAAATAAGGGCAACAAAAATATTTCTTGAAAGCTGAATGGATGAAGCTAGTTCCACCAATGCCTTCTCATATCCAGCATGTGTATCTCGGAATCCCTATATACACAATAATAATGGAGATTTAAAGCACAGCAAAGAGAAGAATAAGGGTGATAGTCGTATACGGGTGATATTATCTTACCCTTGATGTCCTTACGGTGTTTACATCTTTAGGAGTAAAGGAAAGACATAGCAGGGCTGCACCAGGTAGCTCTCTAGCGTTACTTTTTTTCCCTGAAAATGCAATGTCATATGCTCAGACTCAAGAGAAAGATGGAAATATGCTATTCAATAACAAGAGCACATCAAGATAATTAAGTTTGATAAATCACCATCAAACAATAAGGTAATAACTCTGCTCAGGACACGGATTTAATGAACACAAGGAATCATGTTGTATTTTCTTAAAGTACAACCTTCCATCCAAAACTTATCCAAAAAGACAATGGATTAAAGTAAGTTTGACCTTCTCTTTACTGAACAATCCAAAAAAGTAACTAGGATTCGTGTGTGCCAATTGTCTGTATGTGTCCACCAACTTCTCTTTACAAAAACTCATATAAGACACCAATCTCTTTATACCTGAAGAAAAGATCACCTGTGGAAACACATCCAGTAGCTTCTCAATCTTACTTCCTAAAACTCTTTTCTCCTTGACTAATCTTCGCCTTGTACTAAAGCATAAAAGAAAATATGCTCAGCACTTAAACGGAAGTGACAGATTAGAGAAAAAACTTGGACAAGTGTAGGATTAGAGAAAATGTATTGCTTACAGATGCTCGTAAGTTATGACCTTGACTTGAAGTTCTTCCAAAGCCCTGAGTACAGTAATATTTGCTTCAGAGAAAAGTAACTCTGTGCTCATGTTCTTGAAATCTTGAATGTTTTGTTCAATATATGATATCTGGGAAGACATTGCATAACATAAAGAGAAAACTGTAAGGATTATATACCAAAGATAAAATATATAAAAAAGATGCTGGTATTAGATAAGTTGCCAACAAAGTAAAGATATCACAAGATTTATGATAACCTGGTTATCAGAACTGGGACAAGGTTAATATATAGGTTGCATCCATTCAGAAAACTTACCTCATATTGTGCTAAGGCCTCTAAGGAAGAGACCCTTGCCTTTTCCCATTGTGACTCCAGACCAGGGTGAGCAGACAAGCTAACACTCCACAGGATTTGCAAGACATTCTTTGAGACTTCAGGATGTGCTTCAGCATCCATTGAACCCCACCTCAGAAGAAGGCCAACGCTGCCATCAAGCAGATATTAAAGAGCTATAAGTATATTTACATTTCAAGAGATCATTGAAAGACTCTTGAAGACTATCAAAACTTTAACCCTGTATCTGCAAAAATAAAAAACCAGAACTGAAAGAAAAATAACCAATTTTAACGGTTGGATAAAAAATGGATAGTCGTTAATATTGGTGATATTACCACTCCCAACACTTTAAGTATTTACAAGTCAATTTCATCTAGATTGGAAAACACTAGGGACTCCTTCTAGGAGTTGAACTCAACATCTAGCCTTAAACTTTCCAGGGAAAAAAAAGGTAGTTCTAGCAACAAGGAGGTGCTTTATGCTATTGTCAAGCAGACGCACAATGTAAATTGTAAAGTAGGACTCTGTACATGTGCGCTTACCTATGAGCAAGAACTGAATCTGCACGGTAATCCAGAACATGCTTTGTGATGACGTCCCAGGCTGTATAAAAATCTGAACAAGAGATTTGTCTAGAGTTTACAGTAATTCATTTGAAAGAGAAAAATAGTTTAAAATTAGGTAAATTGCACTAATGCCCTAGAATATCTCTTGCTAGTCCCTGAACTTTAAAATGTGAATCTCATTGCCACGAGAACTTTTAAATCAGTCTTGCCCAAGAAAATAAATTTTGCAGGGATCAGTCATTTTTGTTAGTTCAAGAACAGATATAAACTAGTTAACAGACAATATAACTACCAATTACATCAGCTTCACAAAGGTGGGCAAGAGGATCAGTCATTTTTGTTAGTTCAAAAATTGAAATAAACATGTTAACAGACAACAGAATTACCAATTACGTCAGCTTCACAAAGGTGGGCAAGACTTTGAAAACCAAGAGCTTGAATTATAGGATCTTTGTTCTCAATGCAAGCCTGTTGATTCAGGGACAACGAGAAGACACCTTAGAACTGAATGCATAGAGAAAATAAAAAGAAACAGCATCCGGAGAACCATACCGAAACAGACAGGATGAGATCCACACCCCTATCAGGATTTTTTCTGCAAACATCCCGAATTGATGCGGCCATACTGATGCATATGTCTCTCTCGGACTTTAATTCAGTGAGCAACTTTGGAAGCAACACTCCCTAATATTGAGAAGAAGAAATGCAAAACCATAAGAACAAATCAGCAATAGAAAATGAGAAATAAAATAGAAAAATCTTACCTGCAAACTCCCAAAGGCACGGTCATTGGTCTCCCAAGTCTGGCAAAGTAAACGTATGGCTGTCGCATACAAAGTTCTGAACATCAAATCAAGGATTTCAAACAAAATTAAAATTATTAATAAAAAAGAAAAATCCTCCAGAATGGTACATAATACGTACGGTTTAGCATCTTTCTGAAGCATTGGCAAGATAGTCTGAACAACAACAGGAATCATCATAGAATGTGAAGCAGGTGCTGGAAGCGTTGTCAAAAGTTTGGGCTGCAGCAACAGTTCAATAAAGTAATTATGAAAAAATTGAGAAAAAGAGAGCCACATAGAAAAGTAAGTGTGCCTATTTTAATAAGACACAAGGAATCCAGGATACGAAATGAAAACTCACCAACATACCACAGCGACTTATATCTTTTCTAGTGAATATGTTATTGTAAAATAGGATAGCCAGCAATAGTTGAGCTCCTACTTTAGGATCCATAGTAGCAATGGCAGCAAATGAATCTAAAGCAGTACTCCCAAGTACCTCATGCATCACTAAAACCCCAGCAATTGCACAGAGTAACAAGGGCATTCCTACAATAATGAATAGTGGGAATAAGTGAATATGATGCAAATGTTAAGTAATGATCAAGACAAATGCACCAAAGTTGGAAGAGGTCCCAAAGTATTTACCAGTAATGAATCTCTCTTGAGACTGGGAGAGAGGTAGAGAAGACTTTCGTCTGTCAACAATCCATAAAGTGTACTCTCGTAATTGAGATGGCCAAGATCTTGACACATCATGAATCTCTTTGCCATCAGTTCTACCACTAGAAGCAAAATTTAAGAAGAAACTCGACAATGAAGGATCCTGAAAAGCAAAAAGTAGAAATTTATAAAACCCATCATCATTTGCTAGAAAAGAGTTGCAGTTTTCTGTAACTTTTATAATAATTTCAATCTACATATGATGTGGACAAAAAATATTTTCTTTCGTATTTTAAGAAGGGGCTACGAAGACTACAAGATAAAAATCAAAGGATATTTTGATTTGCAAGAAAATTACAACACCCTTACTTCAACTAAGAAAATAACTCCAACAATGAGAGAGAAAATGAAAATACACCTGGAACCATAGACGCTGTAAGATTCTAAAAACAATATATCCAGGTGTGCTTAGAGATGGATATCCTGCTTCAATTGCTGGTTTATGCTTTGGTGCTATCAAAACTGTTACTAAGAGCTTTTGTAACAGGACAAGCACATCTGTTGCTACTCCTTTGACATATTTAGAAGTAGATGACAGTAGGCTAATGACAGGGAATATGAATAAAAGCTCCTCACTCAGAGGACTTGCAGTTCTGTGAACATATTCTACAAGAGGAAAAAAATTCATATAAGCAAAAAGTTCAAACATTGAATGTGGGAAATGGAATCCAATTGAGAACACAACCACCAAAATGAACATTTCTTTCTTATTACAAAACAAATAAATACAAAAATAAAAGTTAGATCCTAGTCAATATGAAGTCATTCAAGAAGAAAAGCATAAGCTCTTGCTCAATGAGTAACACATGACAGTGATAGTAAAATAAGCTGGCTAACAATTCCTAATAGATTCTTACATACACCAAGACTTATAAAAAAACTGCAAAACGTAGATATTATCAAAGTTTCAAGAGTAAACTAAAGCATACCATCTCCATACTTCCACTTCAAAAGAAGGTGGAGAAGTTTCAATGTAGATAGTTGGTCATGCTCAAGCTCTGACTGAACGAGGATAATAAATAACGTAAGCATAGCTGATGATACTTTAGGCACATAAGGCAACCCAATATCTTTCTGGGTAATCACTAAGTGCTTGGACATTTCAACTACGGGCTCAATCAAACCAGAGTGCATGTGGCCAGCTGAAGAAATTAAAAGAATTTTATCAAACAGTTCCAAACCACAATCATGAGCCTCAGCGATCAGCTGCCAACAAGGACAGGAACAAATGTGTTAATCTTTAGTTATATAGGAGAAGAGAAAGGAAAAAAATCAACCAAGACACAAAAAAGAATGATGAAACCACATGATTAGAAGGGCTAAGAATATACCAATCCAGTTCCAGCCAAATTCCTCAGAACCACTGTATATGCATCGACCATACATTCCGCAAAATATATGAAATTCCTAAAATCCTGCAAATTTTCAATAATTAACCTAATTAGCATCAAGCCAAGAGGAAACCAATGCATACCATAATATGCCTAACAAGTAAACTTACTTCTGAATTACCGAGTGGAACATATACGAGACAGTCTGTCAACATTTTCAAGACGGGCAGTGCATCAAGAGGAATTGAGCAACAAAGAGAGGCCGTCGACGATATTAGATGCCTTGCAAACAAGGCCGAAGTCTCTGAGAAAGGTATCCTTAAAATCGAATAATTCAAAAACGGTCTTAAGAAGTCACATATTGCCACCATTCCCAACTGCTTATTCTTTGCCATAAACAGCAAAACCTGCTGCACAAGTTCCGACTCAGCATCCGATCGGCATGACAGAATCTGTCAAACATTAAAACACACCATCAAGATTCCAACTCCATCACTCACTTACCAGCATTCTTATAAAATTCAAAAAATGGGCACAATCAAAACATTCAAACAGTAAGACTCTGTTTGGTTGCCTCAATTTTCCCAATAAACCAGAACTGAATTCAAATTACACTAAACCGTTAAATTCCAAAATTCGTTCCGCAAAGTAGAAAGCTGAGAAAGATTAATTCTTTCAACCAAACACGGTCTTAAACCATTGAAATCCAATGCACCTTAACAAACGGATGAGTCTCCGCGGCGGAACTAAACGACCACTTGCCATTGCTCCTCTGAAACCCAAACCGAACCAAAAAGCCCAAACCTTTGACGAAAAGGTCGACAAATTTCGGGGCGGACCCTTCGAGTGCGGACTGGAGCTCCAGAAACCCGCGGGAGATATCAATTTTGGAGTCCGCTACGAGGCTGCATAGCTCGCGAACCGATTGGTCGACGACGGCGGGGGAGGTGGAGTGGAGGCATTGAGAAATGGCTTCTCTTCCGGGTTCGGAGTCGGAGTCTAAGTACTTCGGGGCGGATCGGAGCTTCGAGAAGATTGAGATCACGGCGTATTTCTGGAGCGACGGTTGGGGAACCCGCGTTTTCTCCAGCAGTGGAGTGTAAGGGTCCATTGAGAGAGATGCAGAGGGAGACGGAGACGCAGCGCAAGTTACCGTTTCAGGGAGGGAAGCGCTCAGTTGAAACGACGTCGTGTTCATCTGAATGCCCATAAGGCCCATATAGTTGGGCCCTTATGTTGGCAAAATAAGGCCTAATTCCTTTTTTTCTTCTTTCTTTTTGATTTTTTAATGCATTTTTTATTTTTGTCAAAACTTTTCATATACTTCCACGGTTCAAAAAAGAAGTATCACAAGATTAAAAACTAGTTGATAAATTATTTATTTAATTTAGTTTTACATGACATGAGCCATTCTAGAGTTTTGTCAAGAAACCAAAAATAAAGCACACTAGAGTCTTTTACGTAATTGTACTCGGTTTTCCACAATAGTTTACGTTGATTTGATTTCCATATATAGAATTCAAACCGTCTGAGTTCGATTCTTATAACACGATTCTATAAAAATCTAACTTGCGAGAATCATGTACTACACTCAACTCTCTCTTATTGAACTCAAATTTCCCGACTCACATAGTGAGTTTGATTCTAGCTTGTACGAACTAAAGTCAAAATTTATGGTCCGGTGCGGAAATTCTTACTACTTTGTAAGTTTTACAATTTATTTAAAAGAGAAATAACGTTCACTCTTACACTTGGATTCATGTTCGAATTCCCCATCATGGCTCTCATGCATCAAACCAAGAATCTAGTTCACATCGAAGAAAAGGGGGATCTGGTCAGAATTTTGGCTTGTATCTCTTGGCATATGGGGAAGAAATCAATAAGAATCCCACATGATCTTTCTTTTGGTAATGGAATATCCCTAAACATGTGACACATAAGGAATTTCAACAAAATATCCCACTTAGTTCCTTTTTTTTCAAAATTTGATGCGTGACACAATATAGAAAGTCACCCAAAAATGTCCAAAAAAAGATTTACCTTGTTCCACAAGAATCCTTCTTAGGAATCGTAGTTTTTTTTTAGTTGTTCATGCCTTGCATCAAAGGATATTTTGGTCATTTAAGGCCAAGTATCCCCGTGCAAAAGAAGTTTCTATGCATTACTTGCAAAAACAAAACACTATAATAAATAAACTTCAATATTGTCTGGGGATCGATCATACATAATTAAACTTTATTTTCAACAGTTTCTCCAATATTCAGGTAGTCGATCAAGCTATGCTCTTTGTTTCAAGGTATGCTCTTTGTTTGTTTGTCCATGTCTTAGATATCTCTCTGCAAAGTTTGCCTTATGTGTCTCGCTTTAGTTCTCCATATATGTATGCATGTTGGCGCCGTCGTGTACGTTTTTTAGTTCAGTACTGAGATAGGTCACAAGTTCGAAAGGAGTTTGTGTTGAGACTAGTATGCATGTATACATCAAGACTCGTATGTTTGGATTGATCGTTTCAAAACTTGATATATAATCAGCTGCTTAATCTATATCTTGTATGTTCTTTGTGTGTTCATCCTGTTAATTTTCTTCTGGTTTGTGTTTTGTGGGAAACAGATACAATTTGTCAGTGAAAGAGAATCTGAGTGGAAAAGAAATTAAAGATCATATACATCTATGACTGCTGGAATCCTTAGTTAACTACATCCGTGCAGAATCCTCTTTTCTTTCCCATTGAAAACAAATCATAAGTAAATGTTGGGGCTTTTTTAGCTTCATGGTATATGCTCAGTAATTAGTATGCATGCGTAACATGTCGCATAGTTAATTTTGTGAGGTGAGGGACCAAAGCATGCAAGGGCTTATAAAAGGTTGTCCCACGTGTGAAGCCCCAATAGTCACGCGTGCTCCACGTCATCCCGTTTGTTTTGTTTTCGTGTTAGGCTTGAAAATTTGTCACACGCGGAGAGAGCGTGTGAGGTGACGGACCAAACCATGCAAGAGCTTATAAGAGGTTGAACTACTTCTCATATTACCAATTTGTTTTAGGGTGAAACCTCAACTTTCTTCAAATTTATGCTTTAATATTGCCAAAAAAAAAAATTATGCTTCAATACCAAATTTTATGAATTTGTGATTCTGAGATCTATTTGGATTTTCTAGTGAAAATATGGCTTAAAGGTAATTATGGAAAATTCATTAAGACAGATTGAATACTAAATGTCGAATTAATTAAGCGTGACGTTGGTATTTAAGTGCCTATATAGGTTTGACAAATGACAGCATCAATGGGTTAAATATGAACTATATTTCACTAAGTTTTCTATTGTTTTTGGTAGTCTTTGTGTATAGCTAGGTTTCTACTAGCTGGCCGGAATGGGATACGTAGAGGAAATGGAATCCTTGTCCAAAGCAATTAGATACGACGATCATGGAGAACCAACTGTGGATTTTTATACGTCATGGCTGGTAACTTCATATATACTAATTCTGTCTTAAGTTTAATTAATTAAATACGATCTGTGTTTAATATGACACTGGCTCAATGCTGCAGACAAAGCATCCATCTGCTTTGGATGCTTTTGGACAGATGATGAGCGCAGTGAAGGGAAAAGATATCGTTGTGTTTCTGGATTATGACGGCACTCTCTCCCGTATCGTGCAAGATCCTGATAAAGCTTTTATGACGGCCAAGGTAATCTATCATATAATTGAAATTTCCCCTACAAAACAAAGAACCGAAAATGAATTTTGGAGTTTGAATAACAGTTACTAATTACTAATTAGTTGTATGTACATTTGCGGAGTTAAATATTATTCACATTCAATTCAAGTTTATTTAGTTTCTTGTATTACAAGTTACTTGTTATTTGGAAATGGATATAACTGCAGATGCGTTCAGCAGTAGATGAAGTTGCCTGTTGTTTCCCGACTGCAATAATCTCTGGAAGACGTCGAGATAAAGTAAACTTTTCGTACCTATATTTCGTGTCAAAAATTCATTTCTTTAATTTTTTTTCTTACATATATCTTGCATGTGCATATAAATATTATTTCCGCATGGCTTTAGGTTTATGATTTTGTGAAATTAGACAATATCTACTATGCTGGAAGCCACGGGATGGATATATCGACCCCTTCAGGCTCTTCAAAATACAGCTATCACAAGCATCAATTTAGAAGCACTGATGCAAAAGTAGGTCAAAATTAATATTTCAATACATTTTTCCACTTAATTGCTTTATTATATATAATTTTCTGTTAATATTTTAGGGAAATGAATATGTTAACTTTCGTCCAGCATTCGAGTTTCTGCCTACCATCGCAAAGGTAACTCCGTAGAAATAGTAAAAGTAAGAAAATAGTTCGTTTGGAAGTACTTTTAAAATGACTGAAATCGCTTTTAGGAAAATGTTTTTGGAACTAATCATCGATAAAAATGCTATCATTGGAAAAACACTTAAAATGCTTCCTGGAAGAAGCACAAAACTGGTGTTTCTTGCAAAAACACTTTAAGTGCTTTTGAAACCCATAAACATTTTCTCTAAAAGCGTTTTCAGTCATTTTAAAAACACTTTCAAGCAAGCCCTTAATTATTTGGTTCACATGAATCACATCCTAAAGAAGCTCATTTCTTATTCGATATATAACTTGCATGCAGATAATAAAGCTGTTAAACGAAGAAACAAAAGGTATAAAAGGTGCCGTGGTTGAAGATAATAAATTCTGCATCTCTGTTCACTACCGATGCGTCAAAGAAGAGGTTAATTAATTAACACATTATATCTCGTAATACAGATGATTATATATTTAATTATCAAACAGCTTCTACAGAGTTAGATATCTAATTGTATTTGCATGGTTAATAAAAAAATGCAGGAAGTAGACACACTTAAAGGGATGGTGGAAACTCTGATGAAAAATTACAAAAACTTTCGCATATCAGGAGGAAAAAAGGTATATTGATATTGTAATTTTTATTTTGTTTGATTAATTTGACGATGTTTTCTTTCAAAATTAAAGCCTTTTAAATTTTGATAGTTTTTCGAATAGGTTATGGAAATACGCCCAAAAATTGACTGGAACAAAGGTCGAGCCTTGCAATATTTGCTTGACACACCAGGGTTCGGCAGCTCCACTGATGTCCTCCCAATCTATATTGGAGATGACGAAACTGATGAAGATGCTTTTGAGGTGCATATATATATATAGAGAGACCTTGTGGGAACAGCCGGTCGTCCCGCTATCCTTACTGGCCAACCGGCCTTCCCTGTCCGACAAGGCTTTACAGATTGAATACATTATTTAAGTTGTGATTATTGACAACAACTATATGCTAATTAACATGATTAACTTGATGTGGATTTTTTTACAGGCTATTAGGAGAATTGGAAGAGGCTTCCCTATTGTTGTTTCATCCACTCCAAAGGAGACCAAGGCTTTGTACTCGTTGCGTGACCCAACGGAAGTCACGAGTTTCTTGTCATGTCTTGCTGCATGGAGGAAAGACACCTGAATGTATAAAGCTGCAGGGATTTAGTGGGGACTAATTTGGATTAGGTACTAATTAACGGTTGGCTAACGATTCAAAGTTGGGATAATTTGAAAGGTGTAAATAGCATTCTTTGAAAATATCAGAATAATAGCAGAAGAAAAGAAAAAGATAAGGTTTTTTTTTTGGGGCGTTTTGATATAGGCGCCTCGTTTTTTAATTTTTTAGACTAAACATACATTCCTTTTGAAAATTTGATTAAACATTTTCCTAAAATTTTAGTTATTAATTTCAGCTTTTTCACATAAGTTCAATTTTGTTTAGAATTTTAGTTTTTCACAACTTCTCCTGGGCATTTCATTTTTTTTTCTTTTCCTATTATCCCTATATTTATGCATTTATTATCCATCTCTATGCATTTTTTATTGTTTGTTATAATTTTTACCTTTTTGTGTGAATATAGTACAATATTTACAAAAAAAAATTGTTAGATTTTATTATTTAGAAGATCCAACACATAATAAATATTTATTTGATTATATAGCTACGTCTAGTTACCTATAATATGGACACATTTAGTTTTATAGTGGATTTGATTTTTTGTATTTCTCGGTACATTTGGAATGTAAATGTACCAAAAGGGTTATCTAATAGAGACATTTGATTTTGTGGTACATTTGAGATTTTTTGTTCATTTGGTCTTTTGGTACATTTGGAATCTAAACGTACCAAAAGGGTTACTTGACAATGGGCACATTTGGATTTATGGTACATTTGAAATTTTGGTACATTTGATTTCTCTATATATTTGAAATCTAAATGTACCAAAAGGGTTACATAATAATGGGTACATTTGGTTTTATGGTACATTTGGTTTCTCGGTACATTTGAAATCTAAACATACCAACAGTTGATACTTTTGTTTTCAAATGTACCATAAGTTTTAAGTATATTTTTTATATATCTATACGTGAAAAAAATATGTATTGAAGATTTTTATTGAGACATTTTTAATAGAAAGATATTTTTTTTTAAATACTGATAATAAGGAAATGAGGAATTAGTTAATTAATTTTTTATTTTATTTTATTAAAAAAATATCATTTAATGTGTAGAAGAGGATTGACGAAATTAAATTCCTATATTATAGGCAATTAGTTGCTAAGCTACCTTATGCCTCTATATAAATGCATTTAAATTAAGGAAAATTAATGATATGGAAATTAAATAAATAGAAAATTATTGAGGTGGCAATTGATCAAAGCACCTTAATCAAATCTTTAAAAGGGATGCATGTTTAATCTAACAACTATAGAAAAGATGTAGGGCATTCTAATTTTCCCTTTTTTTTTCTTTTTTCTTTTTTTTTTCTTGAAGGGCTAGTGTTGTATTTTTTTTTCGCTTGTTCATATTGGTTCTATGGCAATTTCATTCTTATACTAACATAAAAACCTTCATTAGTTTTGTTTCTACCGCATCATAACGTCTCATCTAGCGAGTGACGTGGCATCGCTTGTTAGCGATGATTGGATGTGGTCTTGCTTGTTGGTGATGATATTACGTGTGTCTAGTTTAGGTTCTTTGTGTTTACCGTATTTTGTGGCAGATCTAAACTTGTGGGCTTGTGCTAGTATTAGTAGTGAGCACTTGTGATGGCCAATTAGGAGATTATCTTTATACTTGTTTGTGTGAATTATCTCCAGATCATTGGATTGATCACTGAAGAGTGAAGAGTAGAGTGTGTGGCAACCTTGTATTCTTGCCAATCGCACGAATGTTACTATGAACCCATGTAACTAATATTAAACTTCCTAAATTATGGGGTTATTTTATATTTATTTGTTTGGTTGTCTATATGTTTTAGGATAAAGTTCTAACATTATCCATATTGGTTACCAAAGTAGTGAAACCATCACCATGACAACCAAACTATTCACGGCAACATCTACGCCCCAACAGCACCGTTGAAGCTCCACAATCACCTGCCTCTTGTAGCTACATTTGTAAGATCCTGAAGCACTTCAACAATAATGTCACGTCATCATATAGCAAATAGTTTACAATGAACTCAAAGTTTACCAGGACAACAATAGCAAATAGTTTTTGTAAATCCTCGATAATGTTTCCCTTGCTCGTGGAGTGAAAACAATAAATTTCTCACTTAGCAGGTGGTATTATCATGGAATTCATCCCACCATGCCATAAGAAAACATTCTTTCCCATAAATTATGATCACCGTGCGTTTCTTGTTGGTACAAGCTCGTAGAACAAAAATATAGGTTGGATGACAATAATGGTGGATAATAATAATTTTTGGGACATGGACACTAATGGAGTTTTTGCGATGAAGAAAGTGCATTGGAGGTAAGAATGTGCAAGGCATTGAAGATCAAAGATTTTGGGACAATCATTTTGGATTGGATAGATGTACCTTAAGGATTTATGGGTTAGGGACAGTCATGTAAGTTATGGGACAGAGAAAGGTGTGCGACAAAGAAGCTACTACGGGAATTCCGCAAATGATGTGCGCATCAAGACATATGGGACAGTCACTGTGTTGTAGGGGAGGGAGGAAGGTGTAAGGGCAATTGGGGATTAGCGATTGGCCGGATTGTCTTGAATTCCAACTTTCTAATCTTTTAATTCTTTTTTCAGTTTCCTCAAATATCTTAACATAAACGAGGCAAAAGTGATAATTAATCATAAACGTTTAGATTTAACACAATTTTCATCTCACTTTATATGCATTCAATGATAAAAAAAAAAAAAATAGTTGAAGTCCAACTCAATATTTATTTTCGATTTTGTAAAATAAATCTGTGTTTGTGTTGTTAAATAACTTCATATAATTTTCATTTTCAAAGTACTTCATGAAATATTTGTCGACAATGGTACCATCTACCATGCATGATCGTCATTTAGGCACAGAAACGTGTTGCCGTGTTAAATTACAACTTAGGTCCGCAGAGCTGGGCCCAATGCACCCTCGCTTTACCCAAATAATTCGGCCCATTTTTAGAACGTCCACGTCCACATAAAGATTCGGGTTTGAAATATCGTTCCCCGTTTATAAACCCGACAAAGTACGAACTCGAGCGAGACTCCGTGGCCTCCCGTCACAAGGATGAAGACGTCGATGACAGAGTTCGACGACGAAACGGCGCGCAGCATGGCCATTAGCGCCATATTCTCGGACTTCGTTAGCTCCACTTCCCGCCCTTTTTTCATGCCTAATTCGTTCTTCGATCAGTTATCGTAATCTTGAATTTTTTGCATAACCGGAAGAATGGTATACAGTGTGCCTTGATTCGAGCGGTTGATGAGTTTGTTTTTTACATTGGAATATTTGCTCAAGACGGTTTTATCTTGTCAAATTGGATCATGTTGTTGTTAAAGAGCGAACCCAAGTCAACAAGGTTTCCCGCTTCGCGAGGATTTGGAGCCACGTCTATCTACGTAGCCTTATTTTTACTTTGCAAAGAGACTGTTTTAACTACTCGAACCCGTAACCTTTAGATCACAAGAGAGCAACCTTTCTGGTGCACCAAGGCTCGCCCTCGCCCTGATGTTGTTAATTGAAGAAATATGTATTTGTTTGTTTGGAGTTGAATGTTGGACTGCACGACCGTAGTAATATTTGTGTGCTGGTTTGATTGCATTGCTTTGATATACCGCTGTTATCAGCGATGTATGGTCTCTTAGCGTGTTCCATGCCATGGTTTGTTGTAGCGGGATTTCATTGATATATATTAAACGATGAGCATGTCTTTGTGCATGGAACTGAGTATACTTAGTGCTGGTCCACTTTCAAGTTGTTTCCTTTAATCTGAAATTTATGTTTTATTCATGAACTTCAGGTTGATAAAGACCACAATTCATAAGAAACATAGAGGAGATCGTATATGCTTTACGCATCAGGCGGCCATCACCCAAGTTCTGTTACACGCTCTTCAAAATGCCATCTGGATACGGAAAAGATCCTCTACGGATACTCTTTGCGAGGATCCGATTGATCCATCAATTACTGTCGTTTATCGTACATCGCGCGGTTAGAAATCATTTTAAATTTAAAATTAAATATAAATAGTATCTAACGAAATTGACCGTACGATGTACGATGAACGGTGTGATTGATGGATTCCCCGGATTCCCACAAAGAGGATCCGGAGAGGATCATTTTCCTCTAGATACCACCGAAGGTTGAGAGATTTTTAATTGTGACTGGAATAAGGATGGTACACCATATGTTTTTATGTAAGTGATGAAAAATTTTATTTTTTAAGTTATTAACTTTTTGACACACAAATCCCACTATTTGTATAGTGACACGTGGTATACCACCTTATGTGCCGGTCACATTGAAAAATCTCTCCCCGCAGGTGACTTTTTTTTTAATATTTTTTTATAACTTTTCATTCATTATTTAGCTTCTAATTTCTGTGGCATTGTTTTCTTAATGATTCCGTCTGTTTCTGTACCAGAATCACTGCGTTATCTGTCAATCTATGATAATCTATGCCTTCGCTACTTCAAAGGACATAAAGAGAGGTTTGGATCCTTGAACTTTACTTTAACATAAGGATTTGGAACTCATACGTTTATCATATAGAAATGCTTGTTGTCGTTAATTGTAATTTAAGGCAGTAGGATCCATACGTTTTACTGAATATCACTTTAGATGCTAGTATTTCGGGGTTTATCTCCGAAAAATTGCGTATTTTGCATGTTTGATACTCTACTTGAATTCAACTTTTTAAACTTAAAAACTATTTTCAAGTTTTATGTCTTAAAAAATTTGTTTGGTAAGACTATTTTCAAAACCTGAACTCAAAACGTAACTAAAAAATATAATTCATTATATAAAAACATAAAAAGTGAATTTTTAGAGTTTTTAAACTTAAAGTCATTCATTTCTTTTCTTTCCATCCTCCCCTCTCACTCCAAATCTCTCTCTCTCTCTCCTTTTTTTTTTACCTTTTTCATCTCTCCTTCAATCTCCTTCAATCCGCTCTCTTCATTCTCTCGGTTCTTTCTCTCACTCATCTTCCTCTCTATCTCGTTTGATCATCTCTCTTCTTTCTCTTTCATTCAATCATCTCTTACTTTCGTTCCTCCTATCTCCTCCTCTTTCTCCCTCTCCTACGACCCCTCTTTTTAGATCTCTTTTTTAGATCTCTTTGTCTATTTCTCTCCTACGACCCCTTCTTTTATATCTCTTTGTCTAATTTAAGTAGTAAGATTTAAAAAATTTAAATCGCAAACCAATCAAGTTTTAAATCTTAAAGAAAATTGTTTCAAGAGAGATGTTCTTAAGAAATGTTTTTGAGAAATGACAAAAAAATTTAAGTAAGATACCAAATAGCCCTTAGTTGCTTGAATTTCTCAGAAACCCTTACGTGATGAAACCATGTGAAAGGAGTCGGTTTAAATCGAATAATGGTGAGATAAACTTATCGAATATGGACTCTTATCAATTGGTATTCTTTGTAGGTGGCATGCTGGGACAGTCACATCGGAGTTCCATTGTGCTTGAAGTGGGCTCCTCGCAGAGCCATGTTCGCCGCTGCATCAAGCGTTCTCAGTTTTGGATACCTAACGAAGCAAACGAACCTACTCACATGGAGACCGAAGCTGGTGGTGCCGAATCCGAGCATCCTCCTCAATGAAAACCCTTTGGTCTGCCGTACCACCGGAAAACCGATTCCATCAGGTTCCGATAACTTCTCGAATTTTGTATTCATTTGTAGCATAAGAGTATAGTCTAGCATAATGTAATGAGTTCAAATTTAAATGTAACATGACATATAAAACTTCTTAATTGTGGTTTCAGAGGAGTTATTGGTTCTCTATATTTATCTAGCTCGGAAATCGGACGGGTTCATCCATTGTCGCCATAGATTCGATCGATCGAGAGAGAGAAAGTGCACAAACGGATATTTGCAATACAATTGTTGGAACCCTCAGTCCCACATCGGACAGAGGGAGAAGAAAATAATGCTTTAAATAGAAATACCCATCTCTAACTAACATCGAGGCATTTTGTGATAAAACCCCACACCTGAGGATTGTGCAGGTGGTTAAGTGGGGACAGTATCGGTGTTGTTAGAATGGGCCCTCGGCCCGTCGACCTGAAAATTTCCACATGGTATCAGAGCCAGGAGGCGGGCCCGTACTGCCACGTGATTGGGTGGGTCCCCTTTGGCCCCGCGCGATTGTCCACGTAGGCCAAAGATGCCACGTGTTTGGGTGGGTCCCCATTGGCCCCGCGTGATTGGGTGAGTCCCGACATGGCTCCACGTGGTTGCCGATGTGTGGAAATTCACGTGTGACCCATAAGTGGGGTCTCACGTGCGTGGGAGTGTTGGAACCCTCAGTCCCACATCGGACAGAGGGAGAAGAAAATAATGCTTTAAATAGAAATACCCATCTCTAACTAACATCGAGGACTTTTGTGATAAAACCCCACACCTGAGGATTGTGCAGGTGGTTAAGTGGGGACAGTATCGGTGTTGTTAGAATGGGCCCTCGGCCCGTCGACCTGAAAATTTCCACAACAATAGATTGGAGAGTATACGATAAACAAAACAATGCAAACACACACAAGAACTGCCAGTCTACAGGTTGCCAGCTACGTACATCAAATTACAGAAAAAACCACAGAGGTTTTACAACATTATTTCCCTTCCATTTTCATATACAAGCAACCTCGTTCGTAAAAGTCGAAAACCTCTTCAAATATCTTCCCTTTCATTCCCTTCAACGGCTTTCAGTATGTCCGGTTTGCCTCTTTGTTTCGTGGGACTTACTCTGGATGTCCTGGCCAACTTCCTTTGTCTTCTGCCCCACGTACTCTCCCATTTCCGCCGCGCGCCTCTTCGCCTCGTCCAGGGTCTCCGGCACTACGGGTGTCCTCCTGAGGTAGTTGGTGATCCAAGACAGCGCCGACAGCCCAGTCAGCCCAAAAGCCCCGGAGGTCAGAAATCCGGTGACAGCAAGCCCGATGACGAAAAGAGCAGGGACAAGAACCGGGCTGAAGATGATGAAGAGCGGGGTCGCAACGAGAGCACCAATGACTGTCCCCAGGAGAGTGAGACCAGCAAGCGCTAGTAGGGTTCCACCTAATGGAAGGCCGGTTATCACTGCAAGAACTTGGCCGGCTGAGGGGCCACCGTCACCAAATCCTCCATGTTCACCGTACTCGTGCTCGCCATAGCGCGGCTGGACGGGGCGAACTTGGATATGGTGAGGCTGAGGACGGTCTGCCATTGTTGACGAGAGGTGGGTGGAGAGCGAGAGTTTAAGAGAAGAGAGCTTGGAGAACTGTAGTGGAAGGATAGAGATGCAGAAAGAGGAGGTGGCGAGGTGGTGGTTTTATATGAGAGGAGGCGGTGACACGTAAGGTTTGAGAGGGTGAGTTGGGGCTTTGCATGAGGAACAAGTTTCACTGTTTCAGTGCAGCTTTTGGAAATTAGAAAAACCAAAAATTATATATTACCGAACGGGCGTTGTAGAGGAATCTTTGTTGCCATATTTGAAGAAATTTTTAGTTGTGATGGATAATACAATACGTGTTTTTATGTAAATGACGAGAAAATTTTTTAAGTTATTAACTTTTCAACACATATATTTTATCATTTATATAACGACACGTGGCATACCATTCTGTGTGACGGTCTACTGAAAAATCTCTCCCATATTTGGTGTTGGTTCTGCCACTTTGTTTTGTTGCCTGCTGTTTTATGAACGGGCGTTGCTCTCTCGAGTTTGTCTGTGCGTGCTATATAAGTGCACCGAATTGCTTTTTTTATTTGAGTAATGTTATTTATACAATGTTTTTATGCCACATTTTCATATCATATTTTTGTGCCATATTTTCATACCATCGTATATCATAATTAAATGATGATTATGATATACGAGGGGTTTTTTTTCCATCATTTCCTTGGGTTTTGCAATTTTTTCAAATGATATGGCTGTCTTCATCAGATGCCACATAAGGGGAGTATGATTATCTCCCCTCTTTTTTTCGCTCCCCTTCCCTTCTCTCCTAGTTGAACGGTCATGGTTAAGCCACGTTAATATCTTATATTAGTTTTTTATAGCAAGAAAAAAACAAAATAAGAGAATGTGAGAGGAGATGATGGAAGTGGATGAAAAGAGGAAGGGAGAGAATCCTAGTCCCGATGGTATAACAATATGGTATAAAAATATACCATGAATATCATTACTTTTTTTATTTTTTATTTTGAAGGGGATGGAAAGAGGAGGAGAGAGAATCATAGTCCTATCTAATATACCATGAATATCATACCTTTTTTTATTTTTAATTTATTTTTTTAGTGGGGAAATGCAATTTCAGTTTCAAGTTTTCAACTCATAAATTTCGAACAAAAAATAATTAAACTCATAAAAAATGGAATCCAATGTTCACATGCAAAAAAAAAAAAAAAAAAAAAACAGAAAATCCACATACTTGCTCTACATAGAACATATAGCATTAGCATACACGTGAATCAATTCATCTATTTATTCGTTATGCTCTAATTAATTTTCTTTGTAAAATCATTTTGTGTTATTGTTCACTTTAAAAATTATAAGGCTTACGTGACATGCAAGCGAATAATTATTGAGTTAACTACGTTCTTGTAGTGAATGCGACCAAGCTCGGTCGAGTGAGTAGAATAGATGAGGTGGCAGTGTCGAATGCACTGCAGACTTCTGCACCTGAGCAACTACGCCCAAGGAAGGAATGCCTCTTGACCTAGGGTTCTAGAACCTAAAGACAAGGTGACTAATTCACTGTGAAGTTCATGATCTTGTACGCTGGGTTCAGCTGCTTCAGTTATATTGGTGAGAATATAAGTGTGTGGAATCAATATCATGTTGAAAGGGCAAAGATGCTCAAAGGAGATGAGTGTTTATATGATGAACGTGGTTCAGTCGTCTGAATGTTGAACTATGAAATGCACCTGGGAGTAACCAATCATAGAACGCTTCACTTTGATGAGAAGTTAATAAAGTCACCTCTTTGAGCGAAATAATAGATAACTCTTCACCATACGAGATTTGGATAGATAACCAATCAGCCAAAAGCAGTATTGTATACTTGTCCAGATAGAAGGTGCTGCTAAATCGTCTGGTTCTGGCTCCGGCTCCAGTGCTGTTTATTTATTCAAATTAAAGATATCGCCGGTTGTCAATACAATGTTGTTTACTTATTCAAACTGAAGACGTGTTGACTAGAAGGTTAGGATAATTAGTGTTTTTGTGTAGCCGCGTTTTGAGTTGTTTGTTGAGTTGAAAGGGCTTCTCACGTTACACAACCTCTTCTATGTATAGGGATGACTCATTATAAATAGGCATGTTGAGGTAGAATCTTGATAGGATTGTGCCTACTCAGCATTTACCTGGATATTCCCTAATTATCCCTTTCTTAGTGGAGATTCAATATTTATTCAGTCTCGGCTTCTTTGATTTGAATAAGGATTCTGAGCCTAGTCCCATTATGCACATGATTCATCTTATCTGATCAAACATGAATTATGATTCTTTGGATAATTCGCATTTTATTAGAATCCTTTCCTCGGTAATTCTTATTCATCTAGGACTCGACCGAACCACGCTTGAGCTTTATCCTTTCATAGTCATACTTCTATAGGGACTCGAACGACAAGTACTTTCTTGCGTTGAAAGCTTACTGACCCGAGAAATCATTATTGGACTGTGAATTATGGCTTTTCAAATCAGATTACTTATTCATAGCCCAAAGCTGTATTTCAGGCCAAATAATTACACTCGCTCAGTAGTGAAAGTGAGTAAAATGACGGTTGGGACTACGATAAGTTTACTGTTGAAAATTCTTCAAGGTCTGAGAACTGTCATGTTATCAAAAGCTTTCAAAATTTTACATGCGAAAAGCTGATGAAAAAACACATCATCTTTCAATTTGAGTGAGTTTGAGCTGAAATGTGACTTGAAAGTCAATACTGCCCTTGCTGTTCTGCGTTATCAATGAGGGTATAAACGACATTGTATATTTTTCATATTCGCGAACGAACCCCACAGTGGTTTGTCATATTTGGCACTCCAAGCGTGCCACGACTCACGTGCGTCGGAGGACACACTTCCCCCTACGCCGCCTTCGCCCCTCACCTGCAATGGCGAATCCAGCTGAAAACCCAGCAATGGAAACTCCATGCCCAGCAACTCCTTCTTCTTCTTCTTATTCCTCTCCTTATACTCCAAAACCAGAGAACCCAGCACCCCAAAGCCCCTCACCGTCACCGGCACTAGCATCAACGGCGAGGCTGTGGAGGCCCACCGCGCAGAGAAACCTGAGAAATCAATGGCCCAAGTTAGCTTCTTACAGACAGCAATGGGCTTCTTCTTCTTCCACTGCAAGATCACACGCCACCTCTCTCGTAAACTCGTATCTTTCTCTCAAGTAAGTGTTTTACTGCTTCTGTAAACATTTTATTTTCTGGGGCATGTTTGGAATTCAATTTCACGCTTAAATTACCATGCTTTTGTTTGTTAAAGTTTCAAATTTTCATGCTTTTTGCTTAGAGCTTCAATTGTTCAGGGTGAGAGAGCGACTGACTGACTCTCTGTGTGTGCGTGCGCGTTTTGCTTCAGATACATGCCTTCAATGGAGTTGGGAGTTCTGAGTGATATGCCTAATATACGAAAGAAAGCTTGCCATAAATTATTTAAGCGGCAGGTAATGTTAACAAGCAAGCAGCTTTTAGCCCTTTACACTACCGCTTTTACAACTCTTGCAACATTGATCGTGATAAGCATTGCTCTTGTGTTGTAATACTTTCTTAATTTCGTTTCAGGAGCTTCATCGAAGCGGACTTTTATCGTCGTACAAGGACATGGTATGCATCTTCATCATTTTACTAGTATTTTTGGTAAATTGTGTTATCTGAAATAGACATCATGTGGTTTGTATTGACTCAAAACGTCGACGACATTAATTTTAGATGAATGTCAATACAACATATGAGTTTTCAGGATCATGTCAGACTGATTCATATAAGCAATTTGGACTTATAAGTTACTTAATAACATGTATGGTTTGATTTCTCGGGCGGTTATCAATTTTTATGATGTATAGTTGCATATTGAATGAAGTAAGGATTTTCATTTTTTAAAGAGATCGTTTGGTGCTTTCGTTTTTTTATTTTGTTTGTTTAATCACTATTATCTCCAGGTTTCAGTTGTAACTCACATGGTCCAAACTAGTAGATCCATGAGATGCTTTGTCAAGGGGGCAACCAATAATCCACTCGTACAATCTTCTGGCTGTTCTGAAGATAAGAATGATCCCGGATATGGTGGCGGAATTCCAGTCTTTGCATTTTGGTCCATCTCTTGCTTTGGTTCGTTAAATTAAAGACCCTCTTACATCTTTTCATGTGATATTGATTGATAATGTGCGTATGCTTGGTTTTAGTTCGAGTCTATGCATTTTTTTCTGTCACAATGGGGAGTGCTTTTTCACTGCTTCATCTTGCAAATCTACATGAACATGTTCGTGGTTCAGAGATTCCACTTTTGTGATGAGTTTCTCTGGTCATCCAACATTTTTTAACTAGTTTGAGATGTAAAGGGAACTATGCAAAATCTCAAGTGACAAAAGACAATAGAATAGAGGTTAAGACAGCTAGAGAAATAGAGTATATCAGAGGTCCTTTGACCAAACCTGCCTTTACTAGCAACAATGCCCTTTGGTATTGCACGGTTGGTAAAACACTAAACAGCCAGCTAAATCAGTAAAAAAAAAGCGTAAAGCTAAGATCCTATAAGTTTCATATGATTCTAAACTTTGATTGTGGAAACAATCTCAGAAAAACTGGCGGAGGAGCTTGTCCAGATGTTTATATTGGAGCTAAATTTGAAGGTAAGTTGTCACTCCTGGGCTGCTACGGTATCTGGTCAAATTTCTGCATGTTCTATGTTACATGTTATGTCTTTGTGTTGTTTTGTCAGTGCAGCGTTTGGTTGTAGTGGAATTACTTTCAATTAGTTGTGACGTTCCAACAGTAAACAGTTTGGATTGGTCGGATGAGCTTTATCCGGGAGAATTTGGTGAGTTGAGTATATGCAACTTATATGGTGAGGAGACTTGTAAGCCAATCTATCCAAGATTGGATGATCAGAAATTCGAAATGCCAGCTGCACGATGTAATCAGCAGCCAGATCATGATGTTTTGCAGGTATGGGTGCTATTGATTAATGCAATTGGTAATCCCGAAAAACATGTTTGTGCTCAAATTGTTTCTCATTATCTTATATTCGCCAATACATGTGGAAGTTCCTAGTCAGGATATATAGCATGAGGGATACGAGTCGCTCTGAAAAGATTTCTTTTATTGATTTTAAGAACTGAGACTGACACAGATAATTCATAACATGTTTGAAATAGTTATTCACTTATTCATCAAAGTGAAATAGAATGGAATCACACATTATACTCGAATAATAAATTATCAAAGCTAGGTATTTCCCTTCATGGATTTCAGTACCTCTAAATCAATTTGATTTTTCAGGTTTATCTAACGACGTGGATTGCAGAGGTGAATATAGATGCTCACAGGTAAGAATGATCTCGGTGTCTAAGTTCAGTTCAGACTTTTTACTTCTGTTTTGAAAATTCATATTTGAGAGGTATGAATAGATTCTTCTTTTTAAAAGGGTGGATGAAATATTTGCCGAAGTTGGGGAGGAAATGCATGTTAGGATTTCATGAACTGGCGGTCTGGCTAGAAACAGAACGCCGGAAAATTTGTTAAGGAGGCACTTATGCTGATAGACTGAAGATTCAACACTCATTTTAAGCGTCCCTCACGACTTATAAAGAAGGGGAAGTCCTAAAAGACCCGGACTACGGGCAAAGAAAGAATCTTCAAAGGATGGAGGCATCTACAGATAAGGAATCAGTGCAAGAGAAATGCTGAATTATATTTCTCTAGTTGTTTATGTGCATGTTGGTGGGTGGAGCACGACTTGCCAAACACCAGAGTAGCACTTGTAATTTTGGTGGTATTGACTTGATTAATCTTTGTATTGGTTTTAATCATTGCTTAAACGTTCTTTGAGTTGATCATGAAGGTATATTACCGGTGTTATAAGCACCGGGATGATCTCTAGAGGCCTCTCCTACTGTTCATTGGGCATGCTTAAGGTCACTGTATTACTTGGAATATCGCTAAGTGGGGACCCCAAACTTGGGTAAAGCAATAGCCCCTTCTCCTGCCGCACTTTCTCTCACAGCATCATACACACCCCTTGTATTTTTTATTAATCAGACTCCATTCGTGTTAACATGATAACTTCATGACAACTTCTTATCCGATAGTCTAACAAGTCTGATTATGTATCACTCATACGGGCTAGAAATTTTTTACCGGGTGGGTTAGCTTAACGATTAAATCTTTATCAAGCAAGAAACTTGTTATTGTGTTTTTCATAGTATTAGCCAGCTTAAGAAATTTTTCACAGGTGAGCCAAGAATTTTCGTTATTAAATTAATACGTGTTAAAATTCAAATAAATTCAAATTTGTACATGTACAAGAAGCGATGAGAGAAAGGATATAAGAAAAAAAGATAGCTTGTAATATGTAGTATATAATTAAAACAAGAAAATTAGGATTAATAACTAAATATATAATGGGTCACATTTCAAGATCAATAAAAAATTTATTTTTCATCGAAAGCTACTTGGGATATAACCTAAGGTAGCCTTTAAAGTCGCTCCGCCAGTGCATACAATCATACCCAAGATTCTCTGCTCTTAGCCGACTTGAATGCTTGAGGATTTGCCATGGTGACTTATTGACATCCTAGAACGTCTTGGTGGTGAATGTGGATTGAGATCCTCTTTGGATCTCACACTTTAGAGTTGATGGATCCAGTAATCTGAACTGTTTAAGAGAGAGAGAAGGGCGTTGGAGAGAGAGATGAGGATGTGATTTTGAGTGTGAAATAAGCTAATAGGATGAGACTAATGGAAACTGCAAGATTTAAATTAAATGATCCGGATGATTGAGTCTGTCTCTTTAGAGTGTGAGATCAGGTGATCTCAATCCATGAATGTGTTCCATGTAAGCTTTGATGCAAATGTCTAATCAGTCTGTCAAAGAGACTGCGATTTGATTCGGCCGAACGAAGGCTGGCTTGTCAATTCTTGATGTTGGGCCTTTGGGATCACTTTTTGGGCGGTTTGTGGTGGCCCAAACATCTGGAGAGCGATGGACATGACCTGGGATAAGAGCTATCTCAATACCCCAAAATAGAACGATTACGACGTTTTTTTGACACTTTCTTCTGTTACGCGTGCTACTTTTTGCATTGCTAAATGAGAGACATATCACATATGAAGTCTTCTTTTCATGTCATTTTTCTCATTAACCTATGGCTTTTGTTGTGTCATCGTCTACAATATTTCCTGTCACGAGAATGATACTCTCCTTCTCTAAGTCTCTCATCAACTTTCACTACGAGAGAACGAGAGGTGCATAGATGGAGGTTTATCCGTGACAGAGAAGTTTAACCGCACTCTCACATGTCAAAGAGTGCAATTGTCACAGTACGTATGCAGATATTGCACACAGTCGTCCTGTAAATATATACCATACCATGGAAATCTTATCCCAATAATGTAGGTAAAATGAAAAGATTAGACAATCTTTGGTGTAAAAGCAAAAACCCGACATCAAAATCTTTGTGCCTACTGCTAGTGCTATTCAAATATAAACGTACTACTGTCGAACCATGAGCAGCTACTAGTGCTCTAATGAAACCTCCCCCAGCTGCAAGCATCAACATCAGTTAAAAATATGCATGTGCACGAGACAATGTTACTATTGCTTAAAGAATCAAAATTCCAAGGGTAGAATCAAGGGAAAACTAATGAAAATGGTTTGAAAGTTTTGAGTTTTAACGATAAGAACAAAATAAAGAGTAAAGTAAATAGTACCGTGATTGATTTTTTAGTGTAAAAATGTGATTTTTCGTTAAAGTGAACAATACCAAGGACTTTTCGTTAAAGTTTTCTAGAATAAATTCAAATGAACAATACCTTAGGATAGTCGGGCAATACATGTGGCCTAGCTGCCCTAAGGTATTGTCCGGCTGCTCTCACAAAAACAAAGACACGGTATTTTGATGGTCATATCAGATCTCACTATTTTTACTCTCTTTATGAGTGTTGCCCTACCGAAGATTTGCTCTATTCAAAACAAGACCAAGAATAGTAACCCTGAAGCATGCATATAGGAGAAATTTTTAGGTGTTCCCGTCACCCCACATCACCATAGACACTTGGTGTACCCATCCAATCAGGAGATGCCACGTTTCCCATTAAAAAATCTTTCTGATTTATTTTTTAATAAAATCAATTAAACAAACACTTTAATGGGAAACGTGGCACCCCATGATTGGATGGGTACACCAAGTGTGATGGTGACGTGGGGTGACGGGAACATCTAAAAATTTCTCTGCATATAGAAACTTTGGGGGGATAGCCACTTGATTCGGATGTCGAAAGGGACTTGATGATTAGTAAAAGGATATGGTAAATACAACAACAAAATTTTATTCCAATAAATGGGATCGGTGTATAAATCCTTAACGACACATCGCTTGATTTTACAAAATTTTTCGTTAACTTCAAATACCTTATGTATTTTCTTAGAGTATATTTCAAGTCTTCATTTACTTTTTTTGCCATAAATTTCAGTCTCATAATCGTTTTTTTTAACGAGAACATCGGTAAATTTTTGTAAAAATCCAAATAATGGTTAAGAAAAATGGGTCCGACACTTAAAATGATGATCTGTGAAGGGTGCAGGGTACCCTTCAATAATCTTCTATCATCACATGGGCAAGGCAAACAATCCCTTTTGTTTTGTGGATCCTAATTCATAGAGAGTAGGCATCATCTGTGCGACCTACTGTAGCTTTTCTGCAGAATTCAGACAGTGACTGTGACAGTAGTACTGTATAGACTTGCAATGTTATAAGGACAAGGATTGTCTGCCTTCATTTCCGATATCTCCTATTTTGTGTGATTACGGTTAAAACATGTCAATATTTTATATTATTTTTTTATAAATATAATAAAATTAAAATAAATAATAATATAAAATATTAACATGATTTAATCGTAACCACATAAACAAAATGATACTAACCACATAAACAAAATGATACGAGAAGTACATCGGAAATGAAGAGCAGGCAATCTTTGTCCATGTTATAATGGGCAAGGACCTGAAATTCGCAAGCAGTAGATATATATAATTAATTAAGGTTAAAATATCTTTGTTTTGGGGGTGAAGAAGTCAAAATTTTTACAGTGCTGCCATGTGTGTCTGTCTGTCCCTTGGAAAATTTGCAGACTCTGATTACTGACAGTAGATATGAAAGTTGTGAGAAATATTTAATAGAGTAAGGCTATAATACTTTGGATAATTGACAGCCAATTTTAAACATCTGTTGAATTGGAGCTAAAGGCTATAAGCCTATAAGTGGCAGAGTATTGTTAATTTTTTGCAATTGATGAGGCAAAAAAAGTTGGGAATAAGAATATACCACACAACCACCGGTGGTCCATTTGTTTTGTTCACACTTGTAATAGACCTGATACAATGCATGGATAGGGAAAAGGGAAAGGGAGCCCATATGGTGAGAGACGAGATGTTTCTTTTCTCGCTTTCACTGTGTTCATTGTTCGATCAACATCAATTAAATCAAGTTTATTGAAAAGAGTTTATAGTTTAAGTAGTTTAACACCATTTTGTGCATTCAATAGTTGGTTTCTGACTTTTTTTTTTCTTTTTAATATTGCTTGTATAAAAAACTGCAGGCACCAACTATGCCAAAATTAGACTCACAAATTAACATCGGAATCATTGTGTTTGTTTACCACATTCGATCTTAACCTAGCTCGCGTGGATCCAGTCTTTAACTGGAAGTAGATCAATAATAGTGTTTGTTTTTCACTTAATATTAAGGTTCTTTCTAACACACCAACATGTATTCCAAAGAAATTTGTCTAGAATTCCATGTTAAGTAATAAACAACACAATAAGCTTAGTGATTAGCATCGCTCTTCATCTTCAACACATATACTTAATGCATATATAATCGGGCCAGCAATATTTATAAAATGCTTTCAATATTATATATCACAAGAGAGATATACAGATAGATACACAAGGCTTTCCGCAGAGTATAGGATACATATTACTAAAACCTGTTTACATGGATACCCAGGAGAAACCCTAAAAAACCAGGTCTACTCCTAATAATTATTGACACATACAACATATATGAAGCTACTTTATTTCCTCTCTTTGGCACATTTAACACAATAGACTAGAGCACTGTAATCTACTTAAATTTATATATCTCCTTCTCCTCCTCCTCTCTCATAATTTCTATCTCCATAAGCATTTCTATTCCACGGTGGATCAAAATACGAACCAGAATTTTGACCTAGAGACCCTCCTCCACGAACCCTACTACTACTAGACCTCTCGGACTGAGATGTTGGCAGCAATATTTCATGGTTGTAGCTGCTGGCATACCGGACGAGATCAGCATTAGTCTCGTCCAACTCCTTCTGAAGGCGAATGACTTGCCTTTGGAGCACTGAGATGGCTCCAACACATCCGTAGACAGGATCTTTCATCCGAGCCTCAGCTTCGTAGGCCAAAGAGTTCACCGCATCTTCTCTCTGGTGGGGGTGGACTTCATTGAGAAGCTTACTTACATTACTTGCACCAAATATCTTGTGAACATTGGCAAACTTTTGGGGCTCCTCCGGTGGGAAATAGGGTGCAAATATGCAATCCGGCATGCATTTTCTCCTCAAGAACTTGCACGCAGCACAAGGAGAATTTGTATAACTACTCGTACTATGAAGCCATCTGATCCTGCAGTACTGCACCAAACTAAGACTTAAATTCCATTAAAATTAAAGACCACCAACTATGTTTTCTTTGGTACGCATTACTGGACAATGAAGTCACCGAAATTAAATCTTAGTTGCATGAACATGGAGAGATACGAGCGACTAACTCTTATAAAACTCTTATCTTAATTCTCTATCTTGACATGAATCTCCTAATTGTGTCTACATCTCGTCTTTTGTATAGGAAAAACAAAAAAGGTTGAAGTTTTCTTGTTAAACTGAGATCAAGGTGATCCTGCTGAATTAATTAGCTAGTAATTAAGTAGGAAACCGTTTTATAGTCAGTTTGGAGATACTAGCCGACATTTAGTACTTGCCGAATCAAAAACCTAAAACATAGCTGCTATAGCTGCATGATTTTTATTTTTTTTGTTCAATTTCAAACTTCTTTACTTTTTTGCCAGACAATCAGCTGTCATTCTTGAATTTGAATGCTACTGCATGTTTTGAATATTGTTACTTAAAAGCTGTTCAAAAACCCTACAAATGTTTTAAATTTCGAAAATTCCAAATGAGGGAAAACGATAGAAAAGGCATGAAAATCAAAGTTATACAGAATTGAATTAGTTAAGTACTCCATAGATTCCAGACTTAAGTTAGACTAATATAGTTCCTCCCTTTCTTCTACTCTCTCCCTCTCTCTCTCTCTCAGAATTCACACAAAATGATCAGATACCTACTTATATATATATACATATATATATATACATATATATATATATACATACATACATACATATATATTATATAACAAATACAAATTAACAACTCCTTAATTTCTTATGTAAATCAAATGCAGAAACTACAGATTCCAATTTTATTTCTGTATACAAGTGTGCAGTTCATCATCTTCTAATTGTTATCCTACACCAAATCCACAAGCCAGTGTCCTGGATCAAACCCTTCAAACTTAACTATCAGGAGGCATATTTTCACCAGATTAATGAGACAACATTCAAATACAATATTTATAAGAAGAAGAAGATTCTGTTTGTATGTACTTTGATCCTTACCCTTCTCTGATAGATTTTTGATTATCAGGTATCATTAGATGCAAAAGAATGTAATATTATTATTGATTACCTTCGCTCCCTTGTGTAAAAGCCTCTTAATTTCAAGATCTCTTCTTTGATTGCTGGAGATGTGAAAGTTGAAAGAAGATCTCTAAACCCTCGCTAGCTAGTTGCGGGAGAGAAAGAGAGAGTTCACTGCAACCACAGTGACCAAAAAGGTAAGGGCAAGGAACTGATGAGAGAGAAGTGAGAGGAGGCAAAGAGCATTTTCAGTGGGGGGGGGGGGGGAGAGGAATGGAAAGCAAAAAGACGAGTGTTATAAATCATGGGCTACCAAGGAACAAAAGGATGAGTGTGACTCCGGCTTTATAACATTAACAAGCACTGTTCAACAACAATTGGCATTGCAGACCCTCAAACTTTCCCCAGTCAATAGTTAGTCTGTTCCCATGTCCTATCAAACGCTACAGATTGCTTAATATACCATATTCTCTCGTTTATACTAATTAAACTGATCTAATATTATTATATTAGAGGAAAATTTATGGTATTTTTAAAACAAAAGTATGGTTTTAATAAAATCATTAGTGGACATCATGTAATTACTCAATTCGGAGCATTTTATTAAAACATTTAACAGTTATACAATATGATTTTAACATTTAATATTTGAATTGTAAAAAAGGTAAAGTTACACTGTAATAATCAGAGTTTACAGACCAAGGTTATAAAATAATTATAAGGTATAGCTAGTTAACAACACAAATGACATTGTTACTGTTACACACGGTTAGCATTTACGTTGTGAATGTCCTATTACATTGTCAAGGTGGTTGTTATACGTGAACGTAATTGCATTACAAAAATATCATTCAAACTAAAAGATTCCGATACAATTTTATATTTATTTTATATTGTATTGAACATAACTTTTAAAACTATGGAAACTACATATAAACCCAAAAGCGTTAGGGTTTATTAGTAATGAATTTATACAGAGATGCCCCTTAAACTAATAATATACCACTTCAAGTACTCTAAGTTAACCAATGATTTTTTCTACAGTACACTGTTATCTTGTATTATTGAATTCTTCTGTTTATATATATATATATATATATATATATATATATATATATAAGCTGATATGCGTCGAGAGCTTCAGTACTACGTACTACTGTTCTTGTATTATTGATCAATTGATCAGTCTGTAATCAGAACCCGAGTTGCACGCACAAAGTCTTTGAGTAGATTACTGGCAAATCGGCTGACATAAGTAAGGACCAAAACAAAAGGATTAAATGTCGTCGGGTCTACTATATATTATGACAAAGGTGATAACTTTCACGTATTGAATGTATGGCAGCAATGATGTGTAGAGACATCTGACTCTAGCTAACATGATATCCTGCACATATTTGAAAATCAATATCAACAATGGCATTTTCTATTATCTTCATGTATTTTAACTGCTAGATATTTAGTTAAAAACAAAAAAAATTAAGATTTGGTTAAAAACACAAAAATTAAGACTGTTAAAAGTTTTGAATTATCCTATACTCCGAAACACCATAAATTTTTTTATCAACAGTAAAAAAATGAAGTGGGAAAACAAAATGTGAATAACTGATAATAACAGGTGAATTTAGTTGCACATATATGAGGTGGTTAAAGAACCTATTAGTTGGTAATAAATTCTTCAGAGTTTGGAGAGTTTCGGGTGCGGTAGCCATATGGAATGGAGCAACACACTAAAAAGAGGTGAGACTCGAATGCAGGGGTCTCGCTCTCACATTCAAGTGCGTTGTTGCATAGGCCAATCGCTGGAATTAGTGATTAAAATAATAAAGAGTGTCTCGTTAAGTAGTTTTCTATAATTTGCACGCTTCACTAACACACATAGTACACATAATTGTAGGCAGATTTTGATATCAAGATTGAAGGTTCATGCCTAAAAGGTGAACACGAAAGAGAAAGCAGTAGTACGAATACTACTATCTTTGCTTTCTTGAAACTATACTTATAAAAAGCTCCCCTAGCCTATAAATAATCTACTTGAAAATCTTGCCGAAAGGCCAGAAAGGTATAAGATAACCCTTATATTGAATCAATGATAATTTTGGCCCCACCTCTTCTAAGTTTTGGTGGTGGGACCATGAATTGAGTCACCACCACTCACCACAACTAGTACTTTCTTTTTTGGTTGAATTTTGAACTAGTGTATGTGTATACGACTTTGCTGAATATCAAAATACTGCACTACAAATTATTTGAATATATTTATCAGAGCCTTTATTCAAAAGGATTCTATTTTTTTTAAAATGGGGACTAGTTGTGGGATTCACTTTACATCGAATTTCAATGATTTAAATCGTTTATTTTTTAGTCTCCATTTATAGATCATCTTTATAAAAAATTAATTCAATATGAAACCATTTACCAATTTGATTGTCATGATGAAATTTCAAATTTTCTTATAACACAGTGTTCGTCAATTTCTTTGAACTTAATTAGATGTTTTAACATTTTCAGTTTCGCTAACATTTGTAAGGATGATCTATGAAGTGCAACTTAAAAAATAAATGGTTCAAGTTAAAGTTCAATGAGGAGTGAGCCTACAACTTATCTCCATTTAAAATATAATTAGAATCCCATTATATAAAAGGCCTATATATATTTATCTTATGTTGTATTAGAGCCCTCATCCTACTTCCCGCACAAGTCATCATGAACTGATCATACCAAAACCTCTTTAGATCTCTCTTTATCAAGATACATGAATTTTTCTCTCAATCATATGCCATATTTGTATACATTGCATGATTAAAATTGTTACCTTTGATTCTTTGAATGAAAGCCTTGTGCCCACTACATTTTGCAATCGTCTCACCAATAATTTGCTGGTAAAAAAATGTAACAATATATTAGCCAATGACATAACGAACTTTTTCTTATTTTAGTTCTTTTAATTTGATGCCGTTCAATAATATATTTGGGAATCAAGAAAAACTATAAATTTTTATGAGTAATGGAAACACAAGCTACATGGTGCACTATATTACGTGTTATAATAAATGTAGATGACATGATTGATATGCTCATCTTTTAGGTTATATTAATATAAAAAGCAAATTCACGTATTGTAATTTTAGTGAAATAGGAACGTCATGTGGCTATATTCTAGATCTAATACTAAAAAATTGCTCAAGAAAAAGGATTGCATTTTTACACATCAAAAGTCATATTTAATAAAGTGCTATTCACACACTCATTTTACCTCTCACACACTCTTGTTAGTTTTTAGCTATTGATCTTCTTCAATTCATTTGATCCAACGATCGAAAATTGAGAATGGTATGTGATAAGTAAAAATGAGTGTGTGAATAGCACTACCCTTAATAAAACCAATTAGGTCATACTTATTGAGTCCATAAGATGATCACAAACTTCACCAAGAGGAACTTTCTCTTGTGCATGCTTGAGACTGAAATTTAAACATTAGCTTTAGGATTGTGGGTTGGTTGGATATATGAATAGTTGGTGTATCTTTTGGAACATGAATATAGATTAAGCCCAACCGAGTGTGGTCCTAATGATTAGAGAGGGAATTATTGGTTCTTGAAAGATATGTTATATATAGTTTCCAAAAAAAAAAGAAGGATATGTTATATATATCTTTTAGAAACTTAATCAATTACCTGTAAACATGCATGCTCATACTAGAATACATAATTAATTGGAACATAATGTCACTATATGTATAATTCCTAGCTTGCGCTTTTTATTCTTGATTAATTATAAGATTGATTAGTCATAAACATGGTGAGTTAGGCTAACTGGTTAAGGTACGTGTTCGGACCTTTACACTGAGTTCGAATCACCATCAGATAGATTATTAGACATGCATTCTAACAGTACCATTTCTTAGTACTAACATCTCGAACATGTGCTTTTGCACTTAACTCCCTTCACGTAACAATGAAAATTTTGTTCAATTTTTTTGTCTTCTTCTTTTGTGATAATATTTTAGTCGTCTTCGTTACCGCTACACAAAAAATAAATTCGATTTGTGTTTTAGTTAACCGTTTGTCACACTTTTGTATTGTAATCAAGCTTGCAGAGGATCCAAAATCCGTTCTTAAAACATGAAAATAAGTCGAGGAAAAATGTAATATATTGCAGAGGATCCAAATGGCTGGATTACAAAAGCTAAGAAAAACGCTCGTTCCTTTTGGTTGGATTTTGAATTTCCACGAATTGTGGAAATAGAATTTTGGTTTGGGCGAGCAGCAAGCGGATAAAGGAACAGTGAAGTTGCTGAGCAGATTGTACGCCGTGTACAACATCAACGAGCTTGGGTGAAAGTTGCGAGCATGGCAACCAGGGTCAACCCTGAGAATTTGGGGGCCTAGGCGAGTCTTCAAAGTGAGGTCCTAAAGTTCTCGGACCTTCGACTCTTTGTATATTGGTATGTAGTAAAAAGAATTCGCTAATTACATAAAAAATATATTTCTTCATTGAATTTCATTAAAAATTAATATCAAAAGAAAATATATATATTAACATTACTTAATATTACATGTCACATGTCTTTAGACTCAAATGCACTAAGATTGAGAGTGAAGAGCAATACAACTTGATGACTAAGAGAGTAAAAAACAAGGAGAAATTAGGTTTACATCATTCTTTTTGCTACTCCATTGATTAAAATCCTATTCATTTTCAATTTTTGATCAAGGTCCTTAGGTATTAATAAAATTATTAATTATTTGAATAATAAAATATTTTTATTTTTAAATATATTCCTTTAGTGTTAAAAATGTTACAATTAGTATATTAAAATTTATGGCTAAATTTTTTATCATATATTTTTATTTTTAGTTTGTACCTATTTTTAATTTGTACAATTTTTTTTTTCATTTTTAATTTGTACCCATATATTAGTTTCTTTTTGTGCCCATATTTTTTAAAGTTTTATTTGTCACATCCTGGCCTGGGCCCCCACCACATCCCGGACTCGACTCCACTAAAGCACGATATTGTCCGCTTTGGGCCCCGACCACGCCCTCACGGTTTTGTTTATGGGAACTCACGTGTGGCGGTGTTTGGGCCGATGCGTCCCCTAACCCTCCTAGGACTAATTCTTTACCATCACTACACTTTATGGCTTCGTCATCTTCCAGGTGTCACCCAGCACAACTCGGTTCGGAGTCCTAATGGACATTCCGGGTCGTGGTGTGTCATTATTTGTGTTTGTACCCTTGTGTATACCGTCACATTACATTGTATATTTAATTAATGATAGAAAAATTATATATGGTATATTTATGTTTTATGACTAAACTTTGTATCATATATTTATATTTTTAGTTTGTACCCACTTTTAATTTGCAACATTTTTTTAAATTTGTAGTATTTTCTTTTTAGTTTTATTTTGTACCCATGTATTAATTTCTTTTAGCGCCTATATTTTTTTTAAAATTCATTTGCACGAATAATTTTTTAATCTTTTATCTATACCCTAATTTATTTATAATGTACCCATTCTTCTTTATTAATTTACCACTTTGTTATATGTGAAATGTACCAATTTTTTGTTAAATGTACCAATTTTTTTTAACACTACGGATACATTCTTTTGCCATTTATTATTTCTTATTTTTACATAGTTTTTATCCCTTTATTCATTCAAAATGTTTAAATTTTTTTATTGTAACCGTTTCTAATAGTATTATAATGAGGGATTTAAAATTTATAGAATTATAAATCTCATAAAATATCAAACAATTAATGTCAAAACTATAAAAATATAAATATTAATTGTCATATAATGAGGTGTACAAAGTCAAAGGACTTTAATCAAACTTTGAATACTATTAAGGTTTTAGTCAAAGAATGTTAAAGATTAGGAACCGCATCCAAAGTATCCCAAAAAACAATAAAACTTGATTGACGAATATAATAATTCAACAATGCCAAGTGATTCTCTTGTGTTCTTTCTAAAATCAACAAACACTAGCGAATCAAATTTTAGAATAATCTAGTTGAACAATAAATTATTGAAAAAGAAAATTTAAATTCAAAGTTATGGTTACCTCAAATTACAATCTTTAAGACCAAGTGATAGTTACTTAAACATTCAATAGAAATAGAAAGATTGGGAAGTTGAAAGAAAAAGGATTACAAAGTTATAATTATTTTGGTTTTTGTTATTTATTTAGGTTATTTTCAAAAGCAAAAGAAAAAAAAATTGCATTTGGAGAGATTGAGGCCATTAATTTCACTAGCTTCTTGTTAAACGCGTGGGTGTGTGACAATTGACCTTTGTATGTTTTTTATTTAAGAAACTCAATTTTTTTGTATTTATACAATTTTTATTTAAAATATTTTTAAAAATAAATAAGAATTTAAACATAAACCACCCACTACCATGAGGTTTTGTTATTTTTTTTCTAAAGTTGAAAATTTTAAATTCATTCAAAATTAATATTTATTGAATTATTTTAACTCCTTTTGATTCTTGTAATTTAAAATTTTTAAAGAGCAATTTATCTTTAATTTCATAGATTTGAAAAAAGCAAAATCTAATGCCTACAAGGTGTTTCGAACTGCCCACCCCAATGAAAATAGAGTGGAACCGTTCCACTGCACCAACAAAATAATTGTGATGTTTCTTACGTTTTCTTTGTTTATATTTTATATACAGGATGTATAAAAAAATTTGGGAACTCCCCGAACATGGGGGCCCTAGGCGCCCGCCTACCTTGGCTACCCTCATAGCCGGCCCTGATGGCAACAAGATCTTGGGTAACCTCCACCCCTAACACTAAGCGTTTTTTTATTGCAGAATATAACACATTTGGGGAAAGTGTCCGTTGATGTCAGAAATTGAGGGCATAATATATGCACAGAAAACAATTGCGAATGTTAGAAAAAAAAAAAAGAGCCAAAAGGGTTCAATGACTACTATAATTTTCCATCTTTCAGTCCGCTCCAAGATTCAGTGACAAGCTAAAGAGACTATTTGTCAACAAGTCTGAAAACAGCAGAATTTAGCCTATCTCTATGACTATGAGAAGCTTTCCAGAAAGATGACTGTTTTGTTTCTATATATACTATTCAGTTCCCCTGTATTTGGAAGAATAAGCACCCATGACCAATTCAATGACACACTAAAACGCCTTGCTTTAATTATCTCCTGTTAACGTCTCTTTCGATTCCTAGAAGACACAGTCTCACTCACAATTGCACTGCCATATCTACGAGTCTCAAAAACACCAAAATTAAACCTATCCATATATAAATGAGGATCCAGTCATTTCCCCGGCTAGCCAAACCCCTGAATTAATCAGCAGAAGTAGACTCGAAAATAGAAAATAAAAAATTGAACAATGGGGTTTTTATTATAGGAACCAAACACTTACATAGTGTGTACAATGCGTACAAGCTTTCTTAGAAGTAACAAACATTACTACAACTTACACAATTAATATACCACATACATCATCAAGAATTTATATCCAGTGTTTGACTTTCCTATCGAATATTCCTTTGCCAAAAGTAGACACGAAAATCTCAACAAGAAGGGGAGATTGCATCCAAATAAATAAAATGACGGGAGCACCAGCAAGGAAAATGATTGGATAAGTAATCCATGGTTTGTCCTGAAGCATGATGAATAAGGCAGAAGAAAAGGCAACCATCATGGTCGCGATGGAGATGAAGAGTATGGAAAGGCCTATTATCATCTTTGTGGGTAAAGATGTGAGGAAATCATCTTCAGCATAACGCAACGTAAGAATGCCGAGAAACATCAAGGCTGAAGTTGCGGAAGAAAAGAGCGAAATAGCATCTGAAACTACAAAAACTACAAATAGCTTTTCGTTTAAGAATATTGGAAACCCTGTTTCTTGGTTGTTTCCACCAGGAACTATGAATGCTGCAGCAAACATGATTGTAATAATGAGGGTACTGACAACTGTATAAGAAGTTGCTGTGCCTTTCATCCACTTTTCTCCTTCCTTGTGCAATTTCTCGTGGTTCTTGGTAAATAATTCAGGGGGTGTCAAACCATCTTTATTTTTAGTTGAGATTGCTGAAAGTTGAACCACACTACTCTCTACCTCGTGCATTTCATCGAACGAAAACTTATACATCATAATGATATGAGGTGATCATGTTGATCTTTATTAGAAGGGGGAAAAAGGCTGCTTCATTTGATACATGGATATATGTGCATCTTACTGAAACACCAAACTATTCCTTTTATGTTTAGTTCCTCATGTTGGAATAAATTAAACTGGACACAATTTGAGCTTAAGCATATAATGAGGTAGAATTTATATTATTCTTGGACGGCGTCGGCATGGGTCAAAGTGAGAAAAAAGTTAAATTTCAGGATATTAAGTGACACAATTTGAATTTCATGGGTCATAGATGTAATTAAGCCTACAGCAATAACATCAAATAATCTTCTAACCTTGTACCATTGCCTTTCTCTCTGCATTTGCAAGGCTGCACCTGAAATACGATCAAGATTTTCCTTTGCCGATGGAGATAACATCCCCGCACAATGTAGCATGCCGTTGTCGGATTCATCTAAGAAAGTCGTAATGAGATTTCTTTTACCAACACCGTATATAAGGCTATAAACTTTTTCTTGACGGCATTCAACAGCATAATGAAATATGTTCCTTCCGGAGCTCCTTCTGAACAATAAATCTGGTTTGGTTTTAATTAGAGAAACAACGAGTTCAACAATCCCATTTTCAGCAGCTTCGTATACTGCTGCATATACATAGCCATCTCTCATATCTTCACAATTTAAATGTTTTATCGCGTCACACAAGCAGTCCAAAATTTGACGTGACCGAAAATGAATCAATTTCAGTTCACGAATGCAGTTGATTCCTACGTTGACATTCAAAACAATGTTGTAAATAAATAAATAAATGATTTTTTTAGCCAAAATGGTCATTGAGATTTGCATAACACATCAATTTGGTCACTGAGATTGAAAATCAATAGAAATGGTCCCTGAGATTGTCCACCCTCTATTATTTTGGTCCTTTAGTTAAAAACTCCGTTAAGTGTCTCAGAGCTCCTGGCCGTAAGTTTGGGCAATTTTCAAAGTTTCGTAACTCAATCATTTCTTAACTAAATTCGACCCATAATATATCAAAATGAAGATAGGAAAGTGTAGAACAAGATTATACCTATTTGGAAGTCCAATGGTTGCCGGATATGGTCGGAAAATAGCCTGAAAGGTGACTGGTCCGCGGGAAAACTGGAAAACTTGCCCGAAACTAGGTAAACTTTAAACGTTCGTAACTTCTTCAATACTCAACGAAATCGAGTAATTCAAAAACAAAAATCATACTTCTCAACGAGACAAAGAGAATGGTATATTTTTTTTTATGGATAACTAGCCCTTTTTTGGCCGGAAAACGACTCAAAAGTGGCTGTCTTGGTCTCGAGTTAGCCACTTTCGAGCTGTTTTTTGGCCAAACCACTACGAATTAGCCATTTAGAAAGGTACAATTCTCTTCATCTCATCTAGAAGTATGATTTTTGTTTTTGAATCACTTGAGTTCGTTGAGTATTGAAGAAGTTATGAACGTTTAAATTTTACCTAGTTTCCGACGAGTTTTATAGTTTAGAAAGGTACGATTCTCTTCATCTCATCTAGAAGTATGATTTTTGTTTTTGAATCACTTGAGTTCGTTGAGTATTGAAGAAGTTATGAACGTTTAAATTTTACCCAGTTTCTGACGAGTTTTCCAGTTTTCCCGTGGACCAGTCACCTTTCAGGCTATTTTCCGACCATCTTCGGCAACCATTGGGCTTTCAAATAGTTATAATCTTGTTCTACACGTTACTATCTTTATTTTGATATATTATGGGTCGAATTTGGCTAAGAAACGATTGAGTTATGAAGCTTTGAAAATTGCTTAAACGAGGCTTCGGGACACTTAACGAAGTTTTTCACGGAATGACCAAAATAATGGATGGTGGACAATCTCAATGACCATTTCTATTGATTTTCATCTCAAAGACCAAAGTGATGTGTTATGTAAATCTCAGAGACAATTTTAGCTAAAAAGCCTAAATAAATTGATAGTTTAAACCATGGATTTAAATATCGATATTATCGGCGAAATATCGCCGATAATATCGATTTTTCGGGGAATGGATATTTAAATAGGTATCCGTGTGATTTTCGTCAAAATATCGCGATATTATCGATAATATAGATAATATCGCGATATTTTGGAAATATCGCGACATTTTTTTGAACTGTGCAATCGGACTCCGAGAAGAACGCCGGAGATGGTGTGCCGATTTCGTCCTAAAAACCTTGCAAAAACACGATTTTTAACATCAATTTCACATATAAACTTCAGATTTCACGCATGCAAGAGGTAATCAACATAGGGTTTAGTCGGATCTCACCTGAAAACTTGGGTGTGCCTGGGTGTGGGTGCGATCGGGGAAGCCGAGCTTCCTCTGCGTCGCCCGTGCTTCCCAGAGACGGAGGAGAGGGAGGGAGAGGGAGGGAGGGTGGTGGAGATGCTGCGCTGGCATCGGGGTGGACAAATTTGGGTGTGCCTGGGTGTGGGTGTGATCGGGGAAGCCGAGCTTCCTCTGCGCGTCGCCGTGCTTCCCAGAGACGGAGGAGAGGGAGGGAGAGTTCAGGAGGGTGAGAGTTCAGGAGGAGAGGGAGGGAGAGTTCATGAGGGTGAGAGTTCAGGAGGAGAGGGAAGGAGAGTTCGAGAGGTCCGAGAGGGACTCGGGAAAAGAGAGTGAGGGGTCCGAGAAGGACTCGGGAAAAGAGAGAGAGATAAGGTGAGGGTTAGTGGGCTGCCACGTGGCAGCGTGACAGAGAGTGGGAATCAAGATGAAGGGTCCAGATTAGATTAGGATAAAGGACTCAATTGCACAATTTATATAATTTCAGAAAAAGAGTGAAAATATAAATTAATCTGGGGGTCTAGATTATATTAGGATAAAGGCCTCAATTTCAGGGAAAAAGTGAAAATATATAATTTCAGGGAAATAGTAGAAGTTGTATTTATTGGTTAGGCATATGGAAATGCAAAAAATTGTTTTTCTAATGATTCTAATCAATTTCAAGAAAAATAATGAATTTATAAGGGTAAGATGAGTCTATAAAAGTGATATAATGAGTCTATAAGAGTGTCGGTCAGTTTGACAATTTAGATTTTTTTAATCATTTTTGCCAATTGGATTGTTGTCGCCTTTTTTTATTATCAAATTGGATTATTATTCATGAAATTGGATTATTATCAAATTGGATTATTATTCATCACCATGTTTTATATTAGGATTATTTTTTTATGAAATTGGATTATTATTCATTAAATTGGATAACTACTCTTCACAATACACTCACTATACACATAGAGATGATGATGATAGTGAAAATTTTGAACCTCATAGGAACTCTATGTGGTACTAAGTCACTTATGTATCTTACCATGCAATGTATAAAGTGTAAAATATTGTACTAATTCATTATATATAAATGATTATGGTGTGTTTAGACTTCTTTCATTAATTACTACATATTTTCTACACTCACAATGTTTGTCAGCTCGCTATATAATCAACTTGATAATGTTAAATCCATCATGCAATGCATTTCTTTCCAATTTTTTGTGATAAACTAATAGATAATTGACTAAATAAACATCCTACAAAGTTTCAATAAAAATTTCCAAGTTTTTCTTACAATTTCCGTGGTTTCCATGTAATTTTTATCGATATCGATATTTTACCGATATTTCCATCGATATTTCCGTGTTTTCGGACTACCGATATTTCCGATATTACCGATATTTTCTTCCTTGGTTTAAACAAATGGAAAATGCGACATTGTCACACAAAATTTTTTGTTTCTCAAACTCCTCTTAATTTATAGCCATCGAGAATAAATCAACATAGGTGTGTGAGAAGTTAATTGTGTGTGTATCGTTTTCCATAAAAAGTAAATAAATTAACGTCCACATACCCAAAAACTCTAAAAGCCTCGATAGAAGTTCTTGTAATAAACCCAAGATTGCAACACAAATTTAAAATCAAATTTTGCTGCCAAAATTTCTTTATATGCTAATTAGATGATATATGGCATAAGCAATGAAAAATAAAATGCAATTCTTATTTATTCTAGGGAAAATTTTTATTTGAAACCGCTTAATACTCAGGCACCATTGATGAACTATAGATCTGGAAGCTTGCAGCAACCTGCCTATGCCCATTGGAACTGCAATTTCCAAATCCAATTGCAATTTCCAAATTCACTCAATACAAATCCTCGAAAGATTTCACCCAATCAAAAATTTGGTCCCAAATTCTAAAGAATGAATCTTCATATAAATTTGAATCCAATAAATCAAAAAAAGAAAAAAAATAAAAAAAGAAAGAAAAAGTGAGTTTCACACACTCCTTTTAATTTATGGTTATCAGATTGAATAAATAAAAAGAAATCAACGATCATGATTAAATAAATGTATGTAAGAGGCTTAAAAGTGTGTGAAAATCACTTTCCAAAAAAATGGTACAAGTGGACTTGATCTTGCTGACAAGTCCTCCAAGGTTGATGGAGAGAGAGTATACAACGACTGAATTTGAATGACAACCGAAATCGGACCCCGTTGTTGCCATGGTGGCCCATGGTCACCCGTCGCATGAGTGTTGTTTGAAAGTAGGTTTATTTTTAGTTACGCCTCTTGAAACTCAATTTAATCTCATTTTACTCTTTATAACTCAAAAGTCGTCATTTTATTATCTGAAACTCATAATTCGCTCCACTTTACCCCATATAACTCAATTTGATCCCATTTTCTCCCTGAAACTTGAAAGTCGTTTCTATAAAACTTAAAACTTGTTCCATATTGTCTTAGATTTGTTAGTTCTTATGTGAGTTTGATTTGGGTGCGCAAAACTAATTATTATTTTTTTTATTTTTTTAATCTCTTCATTTTTTTAAAAACTTAATATTCTCTTATTGTTGAATGTTAACGCATAATGTAGATTTATAATCAAATTTATTGCATATGTGGTATAGTCTTATTGGGTGTTGGATCCCACGTATGTTTCAGGAAACGACTTATAGGTTTTAAGGAGAAGAGAGAGTACATATGTCAAAGTGGAATGAATTTTGAATTTCAGGGAGTAAAATAATGACTTTTGAGATTTATGGGACAAAATGAGATCAAAATAGAGCTTTAGGGGGCATAGCTAAAGATAAGCCTTTAGGACAGATGTAATGGTTAATTACGGGCTAATTTGGGATTGTGGTGCTTTTATAAAAATAGCTTATTAAAAATTTGGAATATCAAATGTGTTTGGTAAAACAAAAAAAAAAGTGATTTTTAAAAAATTGTTGTCAATGATAGTAAAAAAGCATAATCAAGGTCTACCATGCTTCTTAAAAAAAAGTTTTTTTTCAAAGCATAATAATTAGTACCCAATTAATGAAATTTTCAAATGACAAGTATACCTCCACATATTTTACAAAATTACAATCATTGCATCTACATACCTCCACATATTTTACAAAATTACAATCATTGCATCTACATTATTCTCTTTGACAATTATTATAACCCCATTATATATCATATCCTTTTTAGTCATTAATTAGGGTTGGAAAAAATTCTATAAAATTCCAAACCAAATCGAAAAAATCCTGAACCCAAACCAAAAATCCCAAAACCCAAACTATCCCAAAGTTTAGTAATCCCGTACCGAAAAATACCAAAATATTCGGTATAGGATTGGTTTTCAGAT